CCACCCTCTGGGTGAAAAACTTCCTCCTAATATCCAACCTAAACCTCCCCTGTCTCAGTTTAAAACCATTCCCCCTTGTCCTATCACTATCCACCCTCATAAACAGCCATACCTCATCTGTATACACTCCCTTCAAATACTGGAAGTACGTGAAAAAATACTACATACATTTGAAAAACAAGTAATTCAAGTGTTCAGATTTTAAAGGAAAATATAGAATTTCCCCAACATGTACAAATTTACACCAAATGTCACATTTCCATGAGGCACTTTCCTGATACACGTTTTTCAAGACTTTCCAAATTTCAGGAAAAAAAATTTGGAATATACACACTTCTTACTTCTATTTCTCTAACACTTCAAATACAAAAAGCTTTAATCACAACTGATAAGCCCAGGTTTTCCAGTATAAGACTACTCCAAAGTTTGTTCTCCTCCCACATGCTGCTCAGTTCAAGCACTGGGTCAAATGAAATGCCAAATTGTTGTATGTCAACTGATGTCATAAAACAATTACTGCAAAACGAGGAGAAAAAGCAGTCTGAATAAATGTGATTGAGATAATCTATAATCCAAAAGGTGATTAACCTTCATACTACATAGAAAGAATGGAAATATTTGCAGCTGACAGGACAGATCACTGAGCGATTTCCATGGGAACCTCCTGCCAGGATTGACTCCCTAATTTTATAAACTTATCCCAACAAGCCTGGCTTTTTATTGTTTCCCCTGCATGCTAACATGTGCTCAGTGGTACATGTTTCTGTCTGAAAAGTACTGTTAAAGCTACTCCTGAAGCAGAATAAAAGGATGATGTCCAAAATTTCTATTCTCTTGCTTCTTCTGAGTCAGAGATGAACGAGGCCTAAGAAATAAAGTTCATAAGATCAGTGAAGTGAAGAAGAGATATGTGTTACAAGTTAATTCATCTGCATTGTCTGCCTTTTTAATAGACAAAAAATAATTATTTTTCCAAAGGAAACAGCCAAGTTTCTCTGTGGTGCCTGAGTCCTGTTTAAGGTAAAGAAATATAAATACTTCTGGGAGAAAACTCTGAATACTTGTTTTGTAACTGAATTCAAGTACCATCACTGGAATTTAGCAGACATCCCAAGTGCTTAGGATTCTTGTTGCTGGGGGGGAAATGATATTAGCAAGGAAGGTATTCTTATTTTTGAGTTTTGGCACATAGTTATCTCTAAATCATTCATGACTTCAAACAATTTCTAGTTGTGTTCACGTGGATCTTGTGCTTCATGTTTGTTTGACAGCTTGCATTATTACCTGAAATCACAGCAGTGCTGGAAGAAAGAGATTTGTTTAGCTTTAATGTCCGTTGAATGACTACTGGTACATTATAGAGATACTCAACTGCAGAGAAAAAAACAAACAATGGCCACACTGGCGAAATTTTGGTTGTGCCAAATACATTTGAATTTCCTGAGTAAAGCATGTAAGAAAGAAACCAGTCATGCATTATGCAAAATAATCTACAGGAGTAGGCATGAAAACTTGATGTATTTGATGACCAAACGTAGTTCAAAGTTCTGAATGCATCTGTGGTAAAAGCTAGATCACAGTTTTCACACAGAGATGTTCTGTTGTGGATTCAAACTAAAACCTCAGCCAAAGATATGAATCAGAATTTTGTAATTAGCACTGAGCAAATAATTTCTTGTTTGAATGAGTGAATACACTAAAAAACTGGGGTAATACGTTGCTCTGGGTCTTTTTTAAGCATTTCCTTAAAGCTGACTAGATACATGAAACCACTTCAAGGAAAAAATTCTGATTTAGATTTCATCAATATCTCTTCAGTTTTTGACAGTGACTTATTCTCTATCACTTCAATTCCTAAATACTTTAGTCTGATTTGAAATTTCACTTTTCAACAATTTTCCTTTTCCTGCATTTATTTTTGCCTACAAGGGCTGGGTTTTGACATTAAGAATACCTAAACAGCAGTTCAGGTGCAGAGAAGAGAATGAAGTTAGCTATGCAGCAGTGAACTAATGAAAGGCAGTAAAGATTGCTTGGAGGGTACGAATCTCAGAAAACTAACCAGTAAAGTGACTCTTCTCTTTGTCCAGCTTCTGTCATCTAAATGGGACAGATTCCTGGGCTGAGCAGCTCAAGGATATCTGCTCTCAAGGATAGACCATGCACACAGCACAGGTCTGCAAAGTACTCACCAAGCACTCAGCTGGCTGTATATAAGGTGGAGTCTTCACATTTGGATTCCCACTGTGCTGACTTTTTATCTCTTCCAGCTTCTACTTAAACTACCTTGTCAGTGGCAGCGTTGCACAGGGAAAGAGGAGGCCTGATTGTCACTGAGTTGAACAGAAGTTGACAGAGGGAGGGAGCAAGAAGCCCCATGCTGAAGTGAGACTTTCTATACATCACTGCACATGCACATTTTCCTAAATGGGATTAGAAGGGCTATAACAAGGCAAGGTCACAGCTCCACTCCCTGACTGATACAGTGAAATGGCTGACGGTGCAAAAATCAAGGAGGAATGGGCACAGTGTACTGCACAAGTTATGCATTACACCTCTAGTGTCATGGCTGTTATCCCTGAGGAGCTATCTCTAAGCTGAATTACATGCAAAGGACAAAAGGTAACCTCAGAATGTTCCCTGTGAAGTTAACTACTCAAAAAAACATTTAGGTACCTACACACAATGTTTTACACCACGCAAATGGAATGAATATTCCACGCATTCACTTGAATCTGAAACCCAAACCAAATGCCACCTCTGAGTTATCAACTTTTCACATATCCATACTCTCTGATTTCATGTAAAGTAGAAGCAAAAATCAGTCAAGCTTTTGGATCAAGTCCTAAAGACTTCCTAAATACACAGCACGGTCTGAACTACAGTCTTAGAAAACAAGCCATAAAGGAGGCAGACAAAAGTCTCAATCAGGCACCTTCCATAAGAGTTAGACAGTTACTGAACAAACAACTGGCAAAACCATCTGCACATTCTGACAAAGCAGCTTTCTGCTACGTATTCCCCATATTCTCACCGACCATACATGCCATGGTGATGTAATATTCCTGAGGTCAGGATGCTAACAATGTGCTTTTTGTTTATCATCAAAGATCACACCACACCATGTTCTTCTATCTGATAGTAAAACTGCATAAAGACTTTTCAGAGTACATCTCTCTGTGCAAATTCCAGCTTGCCTCAGGTGCTGCTTGTTTAATAAGACACTCACATTTTTTAAAAAGAACATTAAAATGATTTTAAAAGAACAGAAGCTTTTTTCTCCCCTTCAGTTATGCTATATTGTGCTATGGACTTGTTCATCAGAGATAAGCTATGGGGAAATTAATCTCCTTTTGGATAGGAAAATGTCCTCATGCTCTTCAGGCAAGCTTTTCCAGAGGGTATGAGTACAATGCTTTCCAATTTCCAATGCAGGGCAATAACCTCTAATGTAATTCAGGTAGCAAGCCATAAGAAAAGTAAGAAAAGGAAGGAAATTGTCTTTAGAAGTGGTCTTTAGCTATCGTAATTCCAATTTGCCACCACTGCTGGATTCTGACATATAATATCAAAGCAATAACTTACAGAAGGAAGTCCAACGTGTTTGCCTTACCAACAGAAATGGGCTTTTTGCTTCTGACAATAATGGAGAAATCAGCCTATCTTTTGGAATAGAAATAGAGATGGCTCTGTTATTTACATGACTTTAAATTTACCATTTTTACCATCATTTACCAAGATTTAGCAGAGGGTTGTTAGAGTTAGGGTAGTATGGTTAAGTCATGGTTGGACTCTGTGATCTTTAAGGTCTTTTCCAACCTGAGTGATTCTACGATTCTATGGTTTTCCCTCTCTGAAGAATATATAGGTGAACGTTGTTCCTTTATACGTTTGAGCAACCTCGGTTAAAACAACACTAGCATCATGCATATTATACAAGCAGGATTTTGAAAGAAGAAATCTAGTGTTCATTGTAATGTATTGGTCTTACCTAGATCAATGCATAAAATGCACGTCTGAAAACCATATCTGCAGTAGACTGCAAAGACAGATCATCATTAAGTGGCTGAACAACTTTGTGAAAAGCTGCATTCTCCTCTATATTAACAGGGAAGAATTCTGTTAATTCAACTGTATCTGCAGTAAAAGCAGGGCCATCATCACAGCTCCATCACATCATCATTTAAAGTCCTCTCAAAAAAAGTGCTCTTACACCAAAGTCATTCCCAGATAGCAATGCTCCGTGCAAGCTACCCCATCACAAATGCTTCATTTTTGATTTTTTATCACAGCTGTGATAGAGACAGAGTCCCTGTACTTTACCTTTCTAACCAGGGAATTTTGTACTTGCTGATTGTCAAGAAAAAATAAGACCAAAAGGAGCTCTACGTGTTGCAATGGGCAGTGTGAACCCACTGCTGAACTGAACCTATAGGAAAGGATCTGAACTACTGTTAAGCAACAGTCTAGCTTAAAAAAAAAAAAAAGAAGAAGAAGATAAGCTACTATTCTTACTCATGAGGCCCCATCTGGAGTACTGCATTCAGATCTGAGGCTCCCGATGTAGGAAAGATGTGGAGCTGTTGGAGTGAGTCTAGAGGAGGGCCATGAAGATGACCAGAGGGCTGGAGCACCTCCCATGCAAGGACAGGCTGAGGGAGTTGGGCTTGTTCAGCCTAGAGAAGAAAAGGCTGAAAGGAGACCTCACTGCAGCCTAGAAGGGTGTTATAAAAAGGAGGGGAAGCAACTTCTTACAAAGGCAGACAGTAAGAGGACAAGGTTTTAAGCTCAGGGAGGGAAGGTTTAGATTGCATGTCATGGGGAAGTTCTTCACAGAGAGAGAGAGGTGAGGTGCTGGAAAAGGTGCCCAGAAAAGCTGTGGATGCTCCTGGAGGTATTCAAGACCGTGTTGGATGGGGCCCTGGGCAGCCTGGTCAAGTACCAGATCTGGAGGTTGGTGGCCCTGCCTGTAGCGGGGGGGTTGGAACTTAATGATCCTTGGGATGCCTTCCAACCCAAGCCATTCTATGATTCTGTGATAAAGGTCTAAATTCCTAGAATGCTTGTAATGTATGTACTCACCATAGAGACTGTACATGTAAAAAGATGCATACTGCCTTGCATTGTAATGTACTGTATTTTTGCTTTTTGCACCGCACAGAGGGAAGCACTATTGAAATGTAGGGGTAAGATATGACCACGAGGTGGGAGTATTGCTCATCGAACATAGCCAGGGCACACGAGGCTTTACCAGCACAAACCAGTGGTTCAAGATACGAGCACAAATACCCTGTGGATTTCTGTGCTTCAACAAGCACATTTGCTTTTCACCATGAGATAAGTTGCCAGGAGAAACACACACATAAACACACAAACACACACAAGTGAACCTGTACGTTTTTGTTATTTTCTAGCTGAAAAAAAGTAACAGAATAAACTGTATTTTGGTGACTGGAACAAAGAGTTGCACTGAAAACTTCATATTGCAGACATTTACCCTAGTAGGGAAAAAAAAAAATAAAGCCGTAAAGATAACTTGTGAAAGTGCAACATGATGTAAAAAGTTTTCTCATTTATTCTAAGTATGTGAGTAGAAAAAAATTGCAAAAATAAATGCTGTGAATGTATAGAAAAATTACTTCTGTGTGACTGCTTTAAAATTTCCATTCCAAGTCTTGAATAGCAGCTATTTCACAGGGAAAAATCAGGTTTTCCAAAATGGTTTAGTAACATTTTATCCCACAGAAAACATTTGATGATGCTGTTGGTGCTGCTGATGTCAGATAGGACTGTGTCTTTACAAAGAAATTAGCAGTCTCATATCTCTTCTCTCAAAGCTGAAGATAAGGGCAGTACTGAGTAACAACTGATCGTCCCACAGAACAAAAAAAAAGCCAACAACAGGAAGATTACATTACAATGAGGATGCTATCCTGTGTTTAAGAAACTCAAATAAGATTTTGAAGCAATTAATACTGCATTCTAAGGCACAACTGCAGCTTGCATAGATGTCCTCAAACCAGCTTTAAAATACCAATAGACTCAGCTGTGTGAAGCTCTGGCTAGATGCATTCATAGCTTCCCAGTGGCTTACAGAGCTTGATCCCTGTTTCTGGAGGCATGCACACCAATCTGTGGGTAGCATAAAGGTAGCACTGACACATGTCAGACCTGTGACTACAGCACAGGCAAGCCACTCCAGGTCTTTGTAACCACATAGGATGGTTATTCGTATTTCCTTGGCCACCTGGTTCACCACGAAGTAGAAGGATGATTAGAAATGCTTTAGCACTTACATATTCCAATTACAACATATTACAGTAACGTTTTGTATATGCTCAAAAAGTAACACGGGTAAGATCCTGCAAAGATTCATGCAGCTTTTTTCTCACAGCAGGACAGAACAGCAGACTGACCTCAGCTTGGGTGCAGGGCTCTAGCTGATGCTAATGGGAGGCCAAAAGAAAGCCAAAGCCCTCATGGGCTGTGATGAATCTGCACAAACAAGCACCTGTTTCACACAAATACACCCCACTTGCAGACTCGGAGGCTGTAAAACTCAAGCACCAGGCCTGATGCTGCTAAAACCTGGGCTCAAAAAAAATCTAGAAGTGGTGAGAGAATTCCAGTGCTGTAACCTGAGTCTTTCTAACTGCTCCCTTCTGCTTTTATCCCAGTATATGAAGGACCATGTCCCAGCAGATGAGAAACCATATGTTTGGGTACATAGTTCAGTAGTCTACAAACAGCTATGTACTATTCATGGGGAAGATTCATTTTTCCACATCCCTTACATGGCTGGTAAGGAGATTTGCTCAGGACTGAGCAATGGACAGGAAGGGTCACGCAGTATTTCTCAAAACAGAAGTGCCACCCCAACACTTTCCTAGGGCTTGTTTTTCACAAATATTCTGTTTCCGTCAATGACATCATTAGTCACAACCTCTCTCTACAGCATTTGAATGAAAAACATGGAGCCCATAAATTGTTTTTGCTTGGTTCCTTATTCACTGTAATTAGCTGCTCTTTTCCCTAGGGGTTGAGCAAAACACTTTCTTGCAGAAGAACAAACAGATATTAAATAGCTAACAGCACACCAAGACTAGCAACCTGGAAGTAAACAAATTTACTACCACACTTTTAAATCAGCATGAAACATTCACCTCTTTGTCTTCCAGCCTGATTAAATAGGTGCCCCTACTCTTTCCAAGAGACTGAGACTGCAAGCTTTCAAAGGTGACCTTGTCCTCAAATTTAGGGATTCCCAAACCTACTCTCATGGTTGGTCTGATGCCCCTGCATCTGCCAAGAGAAGCCCCAAGCCTTCTGCATCTACCCATCCTGCCAGGGGAGCAGTCTTTCTACACAGCCACTATTCTGCCATCACCAACTGCAGTAGGGAGAGAAGCCATTCCTCCTACTAATCCTTGTGGAGCCATTACAGCTACATAAGATATGCAGTATCTTATGCAGTATTCGTGAATGCCTGCAGAGCCAGACTGCTAATTGAATATTTGCTCTTTATTTCTGCATACTGTGTAAAGAGTTATGAATGGTACTCGTTTGTGACTCTTCCTGACAGACACTTATCTGAAGTCTGTGACATTCCAACAAATAATTGATTTTTCCTGAACAATCATTGCTAATGGAGCTCTGTATAAAGTACATATTTCTGTGTCTGAAATTAATACACGTGATTATAGATGAATTCCTCTACTTTTTTTTTTTTTTTTTGCCAAGGATCACATTATCTTCTTATTTGCCACTTTTCTGGAAGAGTAAGAACACTAAATAATTTCTTACAAAGTAACAGTAAAAGCAAACAGCATCCTTCTGAACTGCAGCACTTAAAACAAGGTTGCCTTTCTTGATCATTAAAATACAATACTGTACTATTTATATTTAGAGATATTTCAATGGACTTAATTGACACATACAAAGGAAATCTTAGCTGTAGTATTTGTTTCCATTTATTCTGCTATGCAATACTTAAGCAATCAGTTCTGGGGTGATGTGGAGCCAGATACTATCTTGAAGCCTTTTGCTGCACAGCTGCGAAGCAGAAGAGCAAACATGCCACATCTCTTATAGGCATTTTTCTGCTTTGCTGATGCTACTAAAACATCTGTGAAAATTTACAATAGGCTCAGAGCTGTGTGAAATTATTTCTAGGTGTTCAAGAAACTGTCATACAACTTGGGATTGTTTCATTTCAAAAGTGTTTTAGCAACGTCCCTTTTCTAGAGTGTCCTTAACAGCGCTTCTGTGCTGATGTGTCTACTCTTGCTTGCTTCCTTCCCATACCTGTGGTTCAAAAGCACTTGGCAAATTCCCCCTCAGACTATTAAGTCAAGAAACCTTTGTGGTTTGACAGACACAGTGTGATGTGCAACCAAAAAAAAGGAGATGCACCTTGTGCAGGGTTTTGCTTAGATTCGTGTTTTGCACCCCCATACAATTGGTTTTCACTGAGAGCAGAATTTGGCTCAAAGAAACTGAGAAGGATAGAACCTTACAAAGCCATGTTTCCTATTAAGCAGTTCAAATAATCCAGGATTTTTCTTGTGGGTGGCGCACAGAAATCGTTCAAGAAGATAAAGAAGATGGTTTACCAACAGAAAAATTAAGTGGCATTAGACATTACGTGGAAGAGATGATTTTCCCCCAGAACACCCCTAATGGCTTCTATCATATCTAATGACTGTTTCTGTTAAATGTTTTTCAGGTTACCACACAATTTTTTTTAATCATAAAATATGGATGCATATAAAACAATAAATTGCATGAGTGACAAAACAAAACAAAATATTAAGTCCTTACCATCTGTTTTCTTTGATTCATTTCCCACACTAGACTGATCTTTTTTGTCTGCCATACTGTCTTCCTTTATTTCACCTAGAATGAAGCAATAAGGGATACTATAAGCATTATAATGCAGACTGCAGTGTATTAATGCCTGTAACTCCATCAAGTTTCAACATCCAAGAGAGATTTTCCTTAAGAGGAAATATCCTGATTCACAATGAACTAGGATTAACATGGGATCACAGAATAATGCAACACTCAGAGTTTATCAGACTCCAACAGAAAACCAAGCTTTACAGTTTACTTTCAAATTTATTCTGCTAACACCTCCTTAAGTGCCCATGCAAACTCGTACTCCTCCTCACTGCACATGCACCATTAAAACCTGAACACCAGCTTCATCTCAAAATCAAGACTCTAAAAAATGTATGCTTTTAAAAGATTGAGTTAAGATCCCGTGAGGCTTTGTCATAGGTCTCTGCATTAAAGAACTATTTTAGATATCCTAAAAAGTCCTACCTCATTGGATCTCACTTTCTCTTACCAGTTTTACTTATCCACAGAGTCATTTATGCTGGTCTGTGTACACTGATACAAGAAACAGACAAGCATCCTAGCATTGATCATTGGACTTAGTGTCTTTACAGCAAACCTGGAAGACAAGGTCTTTAGCAGCACACCAGTTGATGCAGAACAAAAATGGGAATTAGGGCTGGAGTATATTTTAAGAAGCCAAAAAGGGTAGCTGGGGTCCTTCTTATTTTCTGTCCTCTATCAGTCTCACAGCAGTGCACAACAGACCTTCCCAGACCATCTCCCCACTGAAAAAGAATGTTCTGTTGCCAAATGTGACTATGAACTAAAATTTACTTCAAGGGATAGATGTAGTAGAATAGGGCTCATTCAGCAGCAAAGAAGGTCTCCTTCCTGCAGATGTCCAGAGAAACAATGGCAGCCTGCACAGATGGGAGCAGGCATCTCTTCCTTCACCCAAAAGAGAGCAGCAGTGAATTTGTAAACCACATCTCAACATGAAAAAAAATGCTGTATCAAATCTCACTTCAGAATTTTGTAAATACAAAGTATGTGGCTGTATAAAAGCAACGCTTATTCCAGCTGTATTACTATTTTTTGCTATGATTACCACTTCCTAGCCTTTAGATCAAGAACGTAGGGAGTGCTATGTTAGAGAGGAACCAATCTGCCTTCAAAACAGTTACGGTCAATGAGTATTTATTTTTGAAACAGCTCAAAAAAGTGAAAATATAGAGAAACGAGGCCTGTCTCTTCTAAATTGTGCCCTAACCATAGGAACAACTGTTATTTGTGGATGACAGAAAATTGGTTTCTCCGTCTCCAATTAATACTCTTCTAATAGAAAAGTGGTTTTGAAATCTTAAAACATTTAGCAAGATGGAAAAAACATGTCCTGTTTTGTTCTCATTTAGAACCAAAACTTCCATGGTTTTCTTGTTAAGGTCATTGTGTGGGTGAAAGAAAAATGAAAACAAGACACGAGACAGAACTGCAACTTCCTCAGCTTATTACATACTGCCATTGATTCGGGCTTCTTTGGGAAGTGCAATCTGAACAGAGAGGTATGAGCAGCTCCAGGTACGACTGAGGTGTCTGCTTGAAAAAGATGGTCTCTACAAGGACACAGGATTCAAGGTGAAATGAAAATGTACCTAGCAAGGCACAAAAGGCTTCTTACATTCCCTCCACAGATGGTAATGATAAGCTAATAATATTTTCTTTGACTTTTGCATAAATGAGGCACTTGATCCTAAGTGTGTGCAGGCAAAGACGATGAGCATGCACACACACATTATTTCCCAGTTTGACATCTCTGAGAAAGCACAAGGGAAGTGAGCAGTGAGTGACAGAGAGAGACTTCCAGCTCCTCTGACAACACAATTTTTGAACTTTCATTGAATATCTTTTTATGAATAGGAGATTTCTGAGTGTTGTAATATCTACCATGCCATACTGCCAGTAGCAGAGCAGAACGATGATCATAATGATTTTTCTGAAAGAGATTACAAAGGCAGAGGCAAATATGTCATGATGAGGTATTAACAGATGTAAAATAGTGGAAACTGCATGAACCCAGATATATGAATGTTAGATTTCATCCATCTCCAAAGATTCTGCAGTGACTGTAATTCATTAGGGCCTTCTCCCATAAATTAAAGAGCAGAATTTCTTGCCCTAAGGAAGACACTAATTTTCAGAAATCATTATAATTCCTTCCAAAGCATTTCAGACACCTGCAGCAGAAAGACATTGCAGAAAAAGGTACTGTCAAAATCACCAGAGCATACTTAGCCCTTATATTGTTAGAAGTCTGTAAAATAAAGGATTTCAGGAGCAAAATCTGTTGCAGTCTAACTGGGATTTCACATCTCCAACCTTTTTGTTTCTTCGTGGGGCCCACTCCCATTCACTTACATAACACTGCTGGAAGAAAAATCCCATGTGTAACAACTTGGATCCCATGACAACCTGGATCTACACAGTCCTTCCAATCTAAAAAAATCTAATGACAAAAGAATCACTGGGGAAGGCCTGAATCCAGTCATACCAGGAGTACTTCAAACAGAATTCTTGCCTCAGCTGCCATCTAAGTCCAATGTCTTAGCCCAGGAATTTCAATGTCTATACGATTACTCATTTTTTTCCTAAGAGGATGCTTCAGAATCTGAGCGTTTTGCTGGTTTTGGACTGGCTGACATTACCAAGATGATGAGAAATCACATGAGACCGTACTGTCATTTTTTGCTAACGGCTTAGAGGAGCAAGATTGGCGAGGGAAGGACAATGAAATGGCCAATAGCCAACTGATCTGTTCTCAGGGACAGAATCAAAGACGACAATAAAGTCCCAGGAGTGCAAGGGAAAAATCCTAGTGCCCAGGTTATCTTTTCTTCAATCTTGCCAGTTGGAGAAAAGAGGAAAGCCAGAAATAGGCATATAATACATATCAGCTCCTGGCTATGTGGCTGGTGCCAGCTCAAAGTTTTTATGGTTTGGTTTTGATGAGAATGGGACTCCCTGTGAAGATTATGATCTATTAGGGAGGGATGGGATCCACCTGTCTAGAAGAGGCAGGGCATCTTTGGCAGCAGGCTGGCCAAACTAGTGAAGCAGGCTTAAAAAAGAAGGACTTGGGGGATGGGGTCCAAGTGCTCCATTGCAACCGACTGGGAAATAAGCCAGCCCAATCAGAACAGTGACAAATGTTCCTTAGCTGCCTCCTATGACACAATCCAGAAGGTCAGTCACCTCAAGAGTGTGTATCACTATAGGGGATTCTTTTGCATCCTTCTAGGGAAACCTGCATCCTCTGCTCCCTTTTCTCCTTGTTTACAAATACCTAAAGGACTGGAAGCAAGTGGATAGAGCTGGGCTCTTTTCAGTGGTGTCCAGCAACAGGAGAAGGGGCAGCAGGCACTAACTGGAACATAGCAAGTTCCAGTGTAAACATGAGGAAAAACTTGTTTACTTTGAGGGTGATAGAGCACTGGAATAATCTGTCCAGAAAGGCTGCAGAGTCTCCCTCTCTGGAGATATTCAGAACTCACCTGCACATCTTCCTGTGTGACTTTCCATAGGGAACTTGCTTTAGCAGGTGATTTGGACTTGATGATCTACAGAGGTTCCTTCCAACCCCTACAATTCTGTGATTCTGTTATTCACAGGTCTAATAACTTGTTTTAATGACGTATGCAATTTTCAATTCTTTTTCCATCTTTTCTAGGTGCAAAATATAATTATTTTAACTCACTAACAGTTTTTTGACAATAAATTTTTTTAAAAAGGCTCATGTTTGCCCTAATAAAACAGAAAAAATGTAGTATAAATAAAGTAAAAAAATTAAAAACAGCGGAGAGGGGAAAAGAGCTGCTGTCCTAAAACATATTTACATTTGAGAATCAGTTCAAAGATACCTTAAATTGACTTTTGAAAGTGTTTATATCTTCAGCATCTCCTCTTTCAACTGATCAGTCACTTAAGCTGTTCACTGAACCAAGATAGTTTGTTTCAGCTTTGAAGTGTACATCAAAACAAGCTGATTCATTTCCACGAGCACAGTCTTATTGCCCTTTGCAAAAAACAAAACATCTAAGCAGACATTATGAGCTCCATCTTTTACAAAACAATAATACCTAGAAGTACCAATGCTGAATTCTAGGAAAAGGTTCCGCACCCAGGACAACTTCTTTCACAACATCAACTGCTCCCATCTCATTACTGAGATGAAATACCACTTTTAGGGTGGCATTCACCTTTCAGTGGAAGGAGAGAAACTCACCATTCTGGACATGTTTCTCTTCTCTCAACGTGTGATGAGAATCCATTCCATTATCTGTCCTAGGAGCACTTTTTCCTTGAGAGGCTTCGTGTCTGGTCACTCCAGTTTGCCCAGTCCCATTTATGTGGGAATTTTCATTGGAATCTGAACTTTTGTTCTCCCCAGGATTTGGTTCTTTGCTGTTCTCTGTCTTTGCTGCTGTGGCATCTTCAGTTGGCTTCTCATCCTTTTCATCTGTTTTCTTTTCATCTGTTCCCTGATGAACACTTTCCTCTGCTTCTTTCTTAGCTTTTTCTTCTGCATCTTCAGGAAAGAGAGAAGCAAAACATGAAAAGAAATGATGATTATCAGTCAATTTTACAAGAAATACAATTCACACGTGTAAATGTACTTCAGCTTTTAACACGTAAACAGGTGTTACTTAGATAAGTGTAGGAACTGACTTGACAAGGGAAAAAGAACACAGGAGAACATTTAAGAAAGTACTCTGAAAAAAATACCCTGTGTTGGCCTACCTATATCATATGTGCATGACTATTTTTAACCATATAAGGCTCCCTTTTGAAAATGCAGTTCTTCAGAAAATTTAAAAGGCAAATTAAAAAGAGATATTAGCTCTGTAAGTAAATCTTCAGGGGTACAGAGGTTATCTTCATTCCTGATATACAGGAGTCAGTCAAATCACATTTAGTTTACCTATATTGCACCACATAATCCTAAGCACTTTGAAAGTCTTGGTTCTTTGAAAATCCATTTTTTCCCCTTTTTCCAGGTTGCTTTCAATTCCAGCTTCTTAATCTCTTCATTTCTACTTACTGTTATAATTTCTTCACATCTCTGTCCCTTCTTACCAGACTAATACGTTACTATCAGTACCTGCTCTTCCATTCCCAAAAGGGGAATGTGTTCCAGAACACAACTACATCCCTTAATCATAGAATCATTTAATGTAGTGCTCAAGCTACAAAAAGCCTAGATGCAGGCAGAAACTCCATAATTTCCTCCTTTTTTCCATGATCAGAAAAGAATTAACTTGCAAAAGCAACTGAATAACTCAGCCCACACTCAATTTGGAGCCTGACTCAGCTTCAGGACATACCTGTATCCATACTGACTTTAAGCATTCAGAAGTGTCTGCACTGTGCTGCCCACTATATATCATTCTGCCTGCCTACAAGGTTTCTAGGTCTGCAATATCACAGCCCACCCACCCATCACCCTATTGTGGATAATCAATTGTACTCTAATTGAGATAGGAATCATAAAGAGATGCATCTCCTGGTTTCTGAGAGATTCTGTAAGCTGATTAAGTAGACAAGCATATCCTGCAAATTAAAGAATAAAGTCCAATTAGTCCAATGGAAGCAATCTTGACACCTAAAGGGAAGATGTTTTGGTCCTTACCGAAGCAGCAACTTAGCCAGAGAGCAAAAATTACAAAAGAAAAAACAATGGTGTCTCCTCAAATACTTCTTATTAGTGAACCAGAAACAGTTTTGAGAACAATGTACCAATGGGTTACAAGAGAGAAAGGTGAAAGCCATCTGTATAAGAAATGTCAATTTGTATTTCTTTGCCAGCAGCTAGCTAATTAATTTTTAAATGAATAAATTATGGCTCACATGAAAATATAATTAAATTAGATATGCGCCTCCCTGGCTTTACTAATCATTCTTGAAATCAACGTTAGCTCGCATAGACAGCTTTCTGGGAGTCTGATGGTATTTAGCTTCCTTTATTCCAAGGATCTGAAAAGAAACCAAAATGCTGCATTTCGCACCCGAACCACAAGAGAGAGATTCAGCACTGCTGGATGAGCACCTCCATGAGCTTCCCTGCACCATTAGACAGGCCTTTCAATTAGAGAGGACAGATCTGCTCTGGCAAATAGAGAATTAAGCCAAGTCTTCCATTGATCATAAAGCCAAAACCGTGCAATCAAACTCCTTCCATTATTTTGAAATACCACAACTCCATTAAATGATGGGTTTAATAACAAGCGTTAAGCTCAGAGGAGACACTGTATCACAGTTTAATGAAGAAATAAATGTAATCAAAGATAGAATTCAGACTTTGCTTTTTCCAGAGCACATCTAAATGACTCTAGGGCACTTTCAGTTGCATGACACTTTGGATGCCTGGTCTGCTTCCAAGCTCGCAACCAACACAGACTTCATATTCTCCTGAAATATTTGCAGTCCTGCACAGATTCGTGATATCATGAGCAGAAGCAGCAAACTTTCTAAATTCTCATCCAAGGTATCACTGCAAATATGAAGCCAGACATTAATCCAGAATACCATGGCCTTTTCACCTGACATATCATTCCTATCTCTTTCAATCTTAACAGTAAACAATTGGTAACATGTCTCTCAAAATCCTTTTCCTGCTATTTTTGCACACGCTCAGAGTCTGACTCATGACCTTAGGGGGCTTCCCTTAGAATTCCTTTTTTTCCTCCTATTGTCCAAATCCTCTGTTATCTACACTTACATCACACAGAAGCATGTAAGATACAGATGAGTCACAACAGTCCTATCTGTCTGAATTCAGCGAAACTGTTGACCTAGAGAAGCAGATTCTTTCAAACTAGCAGTGCTTACTTGGAGAATAATTTGATTGAAGATGAGTTTGAAGTAGAAGAGGTCAAAAGAATTTTGGCCCGGATGTTACCTTTGGTGGCTTGTGCTTTCCATTTCTCCCGGTTCTGCTGCACCACCTCAGTCCAGGTGGCTTTAAAACATTTGAAGTCCACAGTGAGTATGGAGCAGTTGAGCGAGGCACTTCCTTCTGACCCAGTGCTCTTGACACTTGATCTCTTAACTTCAGAGGGACTAATGCTATTCAGACTGGGACACGAGATCACAAAACATAACAGAAATCAGTATCTAAGGCAACCTAACACAGCTAAGAAATTATTACTCTAAATCTAGATAACACCCAAAAAAGAAGAAAGATAACCTTGAATCCTCCACAATTCCCTCCCTCCCTCCAGCCCCATGGCAATCAGTGTTAAAGCAAGCAGCACAATCTGAGCCAGCATTAGAAATAATGGACTGTTCTCCTCTCCCTAATCGTTGGTAGACACGATTCCTTACAAAGAGAACCACACAAAGTAGTTCTTTGTTGTGCATCTCCACTCCCTTAACATCAAGTGGAGAGTCAGACAAACCTAGAAATGCAGTATGTCAAAGGAGGAGTCTCCTCAAATTCATCTGTTGGAGTCATTAGATACAGAACTGCTGTACACGAGCATCCATGCAGGGTTTGATGACCTCGTTTAAAGCTGAAATAGGCACTCATTTCAGTTACAGACCTAGCAGTTCTCTTTCAAGGAGAGGCATGTCATAGTGCACATTTTAATAAAGGCAGCAAGATAACTGATATAGAAAGATATTAGTGGTTGCTCTGAATATAACAGTCCAAGAATAAAGAATTTGCTTGGGAAAAAAATCCTGATTTGGAGGCTTCAGTCTAAGCAGTACAAACCATGTGGCACCTGAATCCCAAGACATGCCTTGTTCATGAAATTACTGAAGTAGCAGATTCTCTACAACAGCAGAAGGGGACGAATGGGCCAAGACTCCTTATATCCAAGCTGCAGGTGAATTCTGGTGATAATTCACACATTTGAATAACTCTAAATAAGTGTTGCCATACTTCCCAATCCTCTTTAGTAATTACAATGTGTTTATACCTCCATATTCCTAGAAATGAGTGCTTCTCAATGGCACCTACCTTCTTTTTTGGCATTAGCGACTGAGAGAACACTTAAGTTCACCTGACTACATGGCTACATCCACTTGCATTCACTGCCTCTGGAGGCTTGGCTCCGTTTCCAAGAGGGCAGCCTCCCTCTCTGCCCTACTTTGGGTTGGGGTTTCCCTTCAAAACAATCACATCACTAGGTGAGCTGTTGTGCTGGCAACGTGGATAGCAAGCTTTACACCACATGGCAGACATACACTGCGGAGGGATGGATGTGGATGCAGACCATGACATTCACCAGGGGACCTGGATGCAAAAGCAACACGTGTGCCCTGAAGGGAAAGGACATATGGTTGTTCACCTGGAACGTCTGAACCCAGACATGCCAGAACGGGAAGCTTCATCTATGAGCGGTGTCACAATCTTCTCAGTCATATCAGTCAGCACAGTAAAAGTGGGTTCCACGATGAAATCAATGAAACCTGAGCAGAAATGCAAGCACAGTCAAGAAGGTGAAATAATGATTTATGTGAAGTCACTGCTTCAGCAATCTCAAACAAACTCATTCTAAAAGTGCAAGGTAGTTGAGCATACTTCTAGTTCCATTTCCCTTGCCTGATTTGCTTGATTTTTTTTCTATACTTCTAAAATGTCAGATAATGACCCGTATTTTCATACTTCGCATAATTAATTACTTCCAAGTTCTCAGAATTTCATACTAATATTTTGTAAATGTGAGAAAAAATCATGCATTACTGGACCTTCAGTCTTACACAAGCATCCAAACCATGTGCTTCCATAACTCTGATATACCCTTATGCAAACCTAAGGGAAAATATCATCTTTCCTCCCATGTTGTTAATCAAAAATGCATGCAGTACAAAGCCACAGCAGGAAACTGTGTGCAGATAACCTTGAGAAACTTCACACAATTTTTAAAAACAAAGCAAATTTTACTGACTGAGAACAGTGCGTCACAGGAACCCAAAGGATACTGAGAATTTGATTGAAGTGTGTTTGTCTGCCTGTCTCTACGTCTCTTCTCATCTCCTTCAATATTTCTTTTATTTCTTAGTGACCAAAAAAATCCAAGTCATCAATGCAAATTTCTGATATAACACGTGCAACTGGCTCACTAACTTCAGCAATTGGGTGGTGGGATCACTTGCTGAGATACTCAACATTAGTGCTTAAACACAAGGTCTTAAGCGTTGGATCTAAGAAATAAAATAAGCTTTCCCTGGGAGAAGTCTCATTAACAGATGCAGATTGAGGTGGCACAAGGGACTGAAACTGGTGGAAAAAAAAAACTGTGAACCTAGAAGAACTTTTTTGATAACATTGAAGCAAGGGTAATAAAGTTATTTTTGTACTGAAGCAGAGTGTGTATGGTATTTTTCCTTGTTTCCTAAGACTGAATAAGTTATTCAATTATGTCATCTTTAAATAGGTATTATAATAGTATTGGGGAACTTATCTTGCTATCATAGAAACAAAACTTGGGACTTCATTATGAGGGCTGATCTGAAAGTAATGCCTCTTATTTTATTATGTTTGCCCACAACACCAAAGGCAGATGTTGGTGATATGGCAGAAGGGACTGAACCTTCCAATCAATATTCTGTTAAAGTCTATTGCCTTGCAACAGATGGCAGCAGATGGCATCTGACATGAAAGTGTGCATGAAGCAAAGCTGTGTCACTGACTTCTCCCACATGGAAAAAATGACACATTGACATTCAATCACTCAACATTTACAGAGACCAAGCAGTGGATGTCACCACAGTGAGGCAGTGGGTGGTGTGTTTACAGAGCAGCAACAGTGACAGTGGGTCACCTCTGCTGGTGCACATTTTTATGAATGCAGTATGATGGCTCTTTCAGCAGCTCATCACTACTGCAAATGCATACCTCATGGTAGTGACAGTGTTGAAAAATAGTGTTTTGTCACTGAGAATGCACTCCATCAAATAGGGTTATTGTGCTCTTTGTACCTGTTTTGGTTTCCATGGAAATAAAGAGGAGGCATTACTTCCAGAACAATCTGAATAGCAATTATGTAATTTATACTATAATCCCAAACCACCCTTCGGTATTCTCTTTCTTCTTACCTAGAGACACAGTGATTTAAACTCAAAATAATTAACCTGGATTTAAAATTTATTAATGGTGCAGCCTAAGACCAATCCATCATCATCTTTCTTTTTCAAAAGAATGAGTGACATAAATATTTCTGTACCCCAGTGACTAGGATGTTTTTATCAATTGCCACTGCATACTGAGGAGTTGATAACAGACAATTCATTCATTCCACCTGAGAACACCACCACAAGCAGCACTGGCTGGAAAATTGTTTCCCTAAAGCCCACCACAATACAAGCAAATAAACCAACAAATCAGAAACATTAATTTCTCAGCCTTCATACAGTGTTTTCTGAAGCTGTAATGTTCTTTTTTGGCAGCCAATGGACAAAAATAAAAAGGTGTTCCTACATCTATCAGTTGCAAGTGAGGTTCATCTCTCATCAAACAAGCTTTCTACAGTCTGAGAAAGACAGAGAAGCTTTAACTCCTGATATTCATGTCAGGAAGCACAAGTTTTGGCCTGGTTTTCTTTGAAATCTGTTTGCCTTGCTCACTCTGGTCAGCAGCATGACCTGCACATGAATCTCTCATGATTTCTGTACCTCAGTGGGGTATAGATATACTTACCAAAATTGTTTTTATTGAGGAAGAAAAATGATGAACTGATCATCAACTAGCATTAGTAGGTTTTAAAACTATGGTTCTTTATTGGATATTTGTTTTAAAAAATATATTAGTTTTAATACTGAACAATTGATCTGTAATTAAAGAAACAAGAGAATGAGACATTCTTTATTTTGAGGAAATTTTTGTTTCATTTTTATGGAAAGAGTGCATGCTGGAAAGCCTTTTGTCCGCATTTATGAAATCCCTTCGTTAATAAAAATGCCTGCCTGCTGTTTGTGGCATCTGCACTCAACTTCCAGCAGCAAACCAGCAACTACAAACAAGCCAAGCCACCAGAACATGATTTCTAGGCTCTGTCCCTGGAAATATCAGTAGCACAGTTTTATTTAACGAAATATAGATGGTTTTGTTTGTTTGTTTGTTTCATTGGTAGAAACTCACAGCTGCTCACTGCATGATTTGGAATTCAAAAGGAACTTGCTTCTGCAAAGAAATGCAGTAATTACTAATCCAGTGAACAACCTGTTGAGACTGTTGATCAAATAAATGAATAGGATGAGATTATTTCTCTGAGAATCTACTTCATAACTTTGAAACCTTGCCTCAGCAGAGAGGCAGAAAATGTAAGACATTTTGATCTAACAAAGGAGGTGTTGCAGACAGATAGTGCCAATATACACAGCAGACAGAAAATGAAAACATTATGTCAGAAGCCAAGGATTATGGACAATGGCCTATTAGTGTCAACAGATTACAAAACCACACAAAAGAATACAGTGACAAATAGCATTTAAATAAATAAGGCTGCCTTTACACACTGACAGATTTATAAAGTGTAATTATCCTGGTCACGGTTTAATTCATCATCAATTTTGCAGCGGCTTGACACAAATACATCCATAGTATAGAAGTTTCTTGGCTCTCCTGGCCTTCTGGAGTGAAAACGTATGAAAGAGGAGGACAAGGCAAATTGGTTTCTAAGCACACTGAGCTTACGAAAGCTCAGAAGGGGAAATGCAGGAAGCACAGCTCCTCTTCCCTGTAAGGTGTGAGGAACATATTCGAAAGCTGCTAGAACCACCAAGAAAGATAAGTCCAAACGTGTCTTTTCCTCCACACCAGCCACAGAGAGGTCATCTTCTCCCATAGCAGCAGGCATAGTCTGCACAGAAATCTTCAGCATGGGTTTTAGCTCATACTGAAGCTCTTCAAGTTTGCTGTTGCTTCCCTCCACTGAGCCACTGGCAAAATATAAGTCTTCTCAGGGGTTGTGTTGTGCTGTATACACATACACATCTTTCTGGGGTACTGTTTCAGAGGGGCACACTCTAGAAATTTGGCAGTTTGGGTTTGTACAGGGTTTTTCAAGTTCAGATTGTTGTATGAAGTGCCTAAGCTTGCAGAGCCAGAAAAATCTGGAATGAAATCCATTGAGGGAGTGGCTGCCTAATGAGAACAATGAAATAATTTTAAACAAGAAACAACTCTAAGCCACAGATGTGAATCTGTACTTTCCTAAGTTTGGGGATGTATTTGTTTTGTTCTTTGGCCAGCTCAGGAGACAGCTGAGAAATTTTGTACTTCAAATTCTTCTCTTGATTGCTTTCCTTGAATACATTTGTTTTCTTTCTGCTTCTGGACTCAGTTCCCTTATGCTGGGAGTCAGCATTATCTGTCTTTTCTTCTTCCATTTGGCACTCTGTTCTCCAGTCATGGATAGATAACATTTTTCACTAGATTTGTGGGTATAAATATCTACCCATAAATCCACCTTTTCTCTTGAAGTTGTCTCTTTTTTTGCTCTTAGCTAGCAGAACATGTCTACTTCAGTTAACTCCTTTTGACTTCTCCCCAGCTGTCAGGCTTGTTGCTTCCCCCTCCTACTTTTCTTTCACTAATTGGAAGAGACGTTTGGGTAGAGTGCACTCTCAGTAAATTCACAGATGACACAAAACTGGAAGGAGTGGCTGACTCATCAGAGGGCCACACAGCCATCCAGAGGAATCGTGACAGGATGAAGAGATGAGCTGGCAAGAACCTCACAAAGTCCTGCACCTCCTATCTTGGAGAATCATCGAATGACTTGAATTGAAAGGGTCCTCAAAGATCATCTAGTTCCATCCCCTCTGTCACAGACAGGATTTCCAACTGCTAGATGAAGCAATAAATCAGGTTGCCTGGTCTTGAATGCCCCCAGGGATGGGCATCCACAACCTCTCTGGGAATCATGTTCCAGCACCTCACCAATGTTTTCATTGAGAGAAAAAACTTACCCCTGACATCTAATTTAAATCTTCTCACCTTTAGTTGAACACCAATCCCCTTTGTCCTATCATTATGTACATACATAAAAGATTTCCCTCCTGTTTATAATCTCCCTTTAAATATTGGAAGGACACAATGAGGTCTTCCTGGAGTCTTCTCTGCTCCAGACTGACCAAGACAAGTTCCTTCAACCTTTCTACATACGAGAAGTACTCCAGTCCTCTGACCTTCCTCATGGCCCTCCTCTGGACCCTCTCCAAAAGCTCCACATCTTTTCTGTGGAGGATGAACAATTCCAGGCACCCAGCTGAGAAGCAGATCTGCAGAGAAGGACTGAGGGGTCCTGGTGACCACCAAGTTGAACATGAGTTAGCAATGTGCCCTTGCTATCGTGCCCAGTTCTGGGCCTCCCATTACAAGAGAAATGGGGATATACAGGAAGAGAGTCCAACACAAGGTCACCAAGATGGTCAAGGGACAGGAGTATCTCTGCTATGAGCTGGGACTACTCAGTCTGGAGAAGACTCAGGAGAGATCTTAAAAAAGCCTATGAACATCTGAAGGGAGAGTGCAAAGAGGACAGAACCAGGCTCATTTCAGTGGTGCCCAGTGCCAGGACAAGAAGCACACACTGGAAAACAAAAGGTTAGATCAGAACATTAGAAAGCACTTTTTAACTGTGCAGGTGATGGAGCACTGGATTAGGATACCCAGAGAGATTTTGAAGTCCCTCCTCAAAAATCACCTAGATGTGATCCTGGGAAACCTACTATTGATGTTCCTGCCTGAGCAGAGGTTGGACCAGATGGACCCAGATGGCTCCTTCCCACCTCATCCATTCTGCAACCCCATGATTTTTCAAGAGAGAGAGAAAGCACTATTAGTGAGTCTGTAAAAAGATCTCTGCTTCTGAATGAATGGAGTTGAAAATGGTTTCTGTGCAAAATATTGATTGGCTTTGAGCACTGAGAAGGAAAGGGTGGGGAAAATAAGTGAAAAACAAACAAAGAAACAAACCAACGAAAAATACAACAGTTTTTGCCCAGGTCATCAAAAGGACTGACATGTTTCCATATCCTCACAACACAATGCCATGCGCAGCTCATATCCAGTGCTCAGAAAACCACAGAATAATGTCATAACTGGGCACTGCAGTCAGTTCTGCCGTCACATCAGAAGTAACTCTACTGCAAGGAAACACCACCATAAATTTAATGGCTCCTCAGCTTTGAATTGTTGATCTGGAGAAAATACCACTGCACTTTATTATTTCTTCACTATAACCTAGTTTCAAATAGTGAGAGATCACTGTAACCTCCGTACCACAGGGAGAAATAAGTTCTATGGCCTCAAGTTGCACCAGCAGAGATTCAGGTTGGACATTAGGAAAAACTTCTCTGAAACAGTGGACAGGCTCTGGAATGGCTGCCTAGGAGGTGGTGGAGTCACCATCCCTGGAGGTGTTCAAGGAAAGTTTAGATGTTGTACGGAGGGACATTTAGTGGGAAATATTGGTAACAGGTGGATGGTTGGACTGGATGATCTTAGAGGTCTTTTCCAATCTTGGTGATTCTGTGATTCTAAGTTTTGTTTCTAAGATGCTACTTACAATGTACCAAAAGGGACATACCTATTTGAGACTGAGCAACCATAGTGGACTTGCGGTCACACAGTGGAGAGAAGGGAAGCCCTAGTTCTGCTTCTTTGTCACCCTGGAGGAAAAAAAAAAAAAAAAAAAAAGAGAGAATAAATTAGAACAAGGCATTGAACTTTGATATCTTAGGTCACTGCTGTAAAAGCAACCCATTTTACTTTCTTTAGTGAAGTAGGTTTTGTATATGCGCATTTTTGTAAACACAGATTGTTTATGGAGTATTGAGCTTGGCTGGAAAAGTTGGGAATAGAGCATTTTGATTCCAGTGACTCCTTTCTCATAGCTTACCAAGTCTGCTTGGTACTTCCAAGCACTATGTAAGCACCCTTTTGTACTCAAGAATGATTCTCTTTTGAGCTGTCTGGAAAACTCAGCAGAACACGATCCTTGGAACAAACCTTTCAAGTGAAAACATCAGTATTGTGATTGATCCTTCAGGATTTGCACTTGTTTGCATGCTTTTTTTCCTTTTCTCTTTCAGATAATTCACAGGTCATGGATGCCAGATACAGATTATATTTTTTGTCCAAAGGAAACACTGCTAGAGAACAAAGGTACAAACATGCTTCCAACCCTCAGAACTGACAGTCCTTTCTTAACATCACAAGACGGTGTGTAAGATCAAGTGTTACAAACCCATTTCTTCCAGTCATTTAAGCTGCATATTCACACCAAGCTTGCTTCAGTCACACTATTATAAATTGCTTGAGGCTGATAGGATACATAGGATGACAGCTGCAGTAATCCCCAGTGAGCATTCAAACTTAAATAGCCTGTTCAATGTACCAGAGAACCAATTCCTTAAATCAGCAACTCATTTTAACTGTGCTGAACTTCATGCCATTATTCTGACTAACGTCAAATAGAAGTCAAAATAACCAGCTAACAAATTAGAGAAAAACTGTAGGCAAAAGAAGCACTGAACAGGTTTTTTTCTTTGTTATGATATACATAAAAAGAAGGAATAAGTTCTGTTAGAGCTTTGGGTGAAATAAGAGTTTTCTCTTGCTTTATGTTAGGAGTCTGATGTACAAATTTCAGGGTAAGCCAGAAACCAAACAGAGAAATATTCCGAAGTTACCTTCTACTATCGTGTCTGCCACACTGCTCAGGAAAAGCATTTTTCAGTGCCAGCTCTTATCTAATCATCACCTTTGTCTTACTCCTCATGCCTTTTACAAACCCCAGCACTTAATTCTCTTTAGCACAGAACCCCTAACAGCCTTCCTGACTGCTCAAAGACATACACGACTTTTAAGCTGTTCAGGCAGATCCTTCATGGATAGCTAAATTGCTAGGTAAAACATGGAAGATATTTCCTTTATGAGATCTTGATTCCAGCTGCTGAATATCAATCAATAAAATTGTATTCAAAAGCAGCATTAACATCTACAAACATACGTAGTTCATGCAGGAAGACCTGTGTCACTACAGAATTGGAAACCAAGAGCATTAGAAACCCATACTGATTCAGGTTAAGTCTTTGTGCCTCATAACACACACAACCAAAAATGTGGAAGAGAATCTGCACTTGTAGAGCATAAAGAAATAAATATCTAAACTGAAACCAGCTTACTTTCTTAGTCCCCTCTGGCTAGTGGCACTTTTCAGCTCAAACAGAGAAGAGTGCATGTTGCTCTTCTGCTATCAGGTAGGGATGCATGTATTTATCTATCTACTAACTTCAATGAACAAGTCTACTTTTCCTGGTAAACATAAGGTTTTTCCAAAAAGGGAGTTAGTACTCGTAATTTAGAACTAGAATACAAGTTTTATGCAATGCTTTCTCTAGACATGGAGGCATTTGTTACTCAAAATTGAAGCATGATTTGTTGATCAGCTGTCTGTGTGAAAACATAAAATGATTTTCATTGCACATGTAAAGCAGATCCAAACCTGGCCTTTTTATGTTCTTACAGCCAGCTAATCTTAATTCCCTCATCAATCTTTTAGGGTACTCAGCAATGGTACGTTTTATCAGATCTAGTATCCTTCTGAGGTATAAGAGACTAAGCATGCTCAGTGGCAGTCTTCCCTAAAATGCATGTGAAAATCATCCTCCTTACATGAACCTTCTGTGGTAACACAGAGATAGATGCAGGCATGATCTTCCTGCTTCCACCCAGTAAACCCATTCTTGCTTTGAAAAACAAACTTAAGGATTTATTTCAAAGCAAATTTTTGCAAGGTCCTTACTAAGAAGGGATTCCCACAGTGCCTTTAAAGCAAATGTCGTTCAAAAAACTGGTTAAAAATTGGCTTTTTGGTTTGGCTTTTTTGCATTCAGATTTACTGCAAATCATGAAATTATTGAAGTTTGGAGGGAAATTAAGCACTTAATTTTCTCATTAGTTTAGTAATACATATTGGTGAAAAGTATCTTCACACTCTTCAGTGCTCTGTTTGCTTTTATTTATTTATTGTTTAAGCAGCTATTTACATGCTTTTAACTGGCCACTAGGAGAGACTAGAGTTACCACATAGACTTTAATGATCTGTCTAGATTTGAGGATCTGTCAGTGGGATGCCCATTAAGAGATATAAGCTAGAGCAGTCCACTTCATTGAAGGTAAGGGTAATGGACTTTTTTATGTCTACTCCAAAAATTTAGGTACAGCTTTATGGCATATAACTACCTAAATGTGTCTTCTATGATTTATTAGAATATATGATGTTCTGCATAGCTATCTTTTTCAAGTAAGAAAGAAATACTGATTCCATAAAAGTAGATAGCCTGGATTAGCAAGCCATGTTAGAACTTCTCCTATGCGGGTAATATTTCTTTCTATAGGCAGTGTATCAGACACTGTTTTTCCAAGAGACTTGATAGGCACTGCTACTGTGCCAGACAAAAAAGCTTCCTATCATTTAGGATGTTCTTGAGAAAATCAGAGAAGAAAGAAAATACATGTTCACATTTTCTTATTTGCCCAATCCTCTGTGCTGCCAAAACACAGAGAAATTCTCCAGCTTTACCTGTCTGAAGAACTCCTCTAGCAGAGACATGGTCCAGCGGTGATGGAGGTCCCAGGCCTTGGCTGGATGACTGATATCTGCTGTATGCAACAACAGTGATAAGGCTTTCGGCTTGTCAATTCTGAAAATTCAAAGGATCAAACAAGTTAATTGCCTGCACTTGCAGTGGAGAATGACAAAAATCGCACTTAAAAAGGGAAATAAGGCCATCAGAGTCTTTGGCAGGATATTAACAGAGTATTTCCGTGTTCATAATACCTGACAACCGTGAAAGGTTGACTAATTTCTCCAAGATACACTATTCCTATTGTAACAAAGACATTAAGAAATATAAAGAGAAACTTTGCTCAGTTTTGTTGAGCTCCTGTCCAGGCTCACTTCTTTGCACAGTCAGACCTGAAGAGTCGCTATGCTCCTTATTTCATCTGTGCTGCATTTTATGCAGGTCAGAAGAGAGTTCATCTTACTGTAGTAAACAGGATCTGCTCTCAGGGACACTGATGACTTTGCACAGTAAGTATGCTTCACTGTTAGGAAACTGGAGTGAAGTTGGCAATTTCTTAAAACTATAACCTGAGAGGCTAGCCCAAGAACTCAGTAAATAATGTTTGCTTGGGATGAGTAATTTCAGTTTTTAATTCCAGTTTTTGATTGCCTGAAATAGTTGGAAGAGCTGTAGCTTCAGAAAGGACCAAGTGGTGTGCCACACTCTGATCGGATACAGATATAATTCTAGAGGGTGCTAGACAGATCTGTGTCTGGAGTGAAAAAAAGAAAAGACCATCACTAAGAATAGCATAACGAGAACTTTATGGAGAAGGCTGTGGATAAAATATTACAACTCCTACTGGTATACTGTGGAAAAAAAAGGCCTTCCCCATAATGCTCCATCTGTTCTTTTCCAGTCCTTCCCTTGATGTATCTCAGATTGTTTACGTCTTTCCCCTTGTTATGGAGCAAGCCACTTGCCATGGTGGCTGCTGCTACCATCTGCAGAAAGCCAGTGCACTGATTGTGTTTTGTAGATCCTTGAATCCTACTCAGTTGGTAGAGTTTGTTCAGCTGGATCATGTCCTTGATGTTACCCTCATATACAAAGGAAAATGACTAGGGAAGCTTACCCCAACACAGTGACCCTTGCAAGCTTTGGTCCACCAGCACAGAATAGAGATGTGTGCGTAGGTAGTGCTTGTCTACTCCTAAGTGAATTCATTCAAAATTCAACAGCAGAAACAGAATTGAGGTGCACATCAAGGAGAGCGAGGGCGTCTGGAGAGGTGCTTTTGAAGTTAAACATAATGGCAAAGCACAAGCTGAAATGAAGTGCACAGTGCTGTGAAGTGACTCACCCTTCTGGCTGCTGCAAAGCATTCTTCATGGCTTTGATTTGCTGGAAGTGACAGGACATATCGGTGGCTAACACCATCTCAATCACCAGAGCCCGGAACTCCCTTTTGAATGGCATCATGATGAGAGAAGCAAGGAAAAAGAAACACAAAAACCAGCTTCAGACACACTCCAGCTTCTGTTGTTATCTGCAAATTTACTAAAAAGCATTTCTGATTTCATACATCCCTCTTTCCATTATTTCTCTTTCAGGTTGAGGGAGAAAGATTAATGATTTTCTACAAACACAGCAGTGGAAGGGCTGCAAATGAAGCCAGGTGGCTTCATTTGTGAAGAGTATCAGTATCAGTACACTTCCTTTCTCACTTAAGAACAAATCTTTTGAATTTATTTCTTTATAAAGCATTCTTAGAATAAAACAAACAGACTGTTTAAAGATTTGGCATGAATCAGGTGAATTTCTGAACTTGTATTTCTATCCAGTTAACTAAAACTAGTCAAAACCTTTACTGAAAGCTTAGCTGTATTATTAAAGTAAAAAGCATCTCCTAGTAAATATAATGTATATATACATTCAAGAGTTCTGAGAACCTGCACTACTTCCCTGACATTGCTCATTCAAACTATTCCTGCACGAATTTTTGTTAAACAAACTTTTCAGGATCTTTGGAATTTGAAGATAGTGTGATGTCCTAGAAATTTTAAAATATCAGAACTCTCTGATCTAGCATACAATATAAATTTCTTTTTTCTTTCTTCAATTCAGCTGCTCACGGTTTAATAGAATAGCCCAAGGTTAGTGTACCAGCTAAGGATTCGGGAGATTCAGAAATGGATCGGTTTTCATTTAAAAATAAGTTACCATTCTTTTCATGAATCTTTCATGAAGGAGACAGTCTATTTTGGGCATGTCTCTCCTGCCTCTAGTGGCTGTACTCAAGGTTCTAGCCCCAGGCCACCCATTGCTTAGAGACCCAAGACCTTGGTGCCTACTCAATCCCATGGGTGTCACATAACATGCCCCCCCAAGAGTTCTGCACACACATTAAAATTGCATCACTTGTCCTCACTCTCCCCACAGCAAACCTACCGCCTCCTCCTCACCCTCAAGTACAAGCACTTGCATAGCCAACAGCATTCAGAGAAATTACAGGGTGCTTGGAAACAAGCTTAGTTTAATTATTTTCGCTGGTCCTGGTCCGTTCCCTGGTCTGGTACATTCCCAGCAACAAAAACCTCTCTGTCAATACAAAGGAGAGGAGAAACTGCTTCTTTTAGCAAAAGTGCTGGCAAATGGCAGCTTAAAACATCTGTGGAACAAGGACTGTAATCCCAAGAACTGGAAAGCAAGTCTATGTACTCCAAGTCAGAGACAAAGCAAAAGCCAGTGTAGATGACAGAAAACGTGGGCTGAAATGCAAGTGTAATGTAATGCAGCCAAGAGCACAACAACAAAGTAATAATTTAATGGGGAAACCAACAGATTCCTTATGGACACACACATCTAGCAAGTCTGTACTCTTCCACAACGTTGTTAGAAACTTCTGTGCTCCAGAGAAATTTGAAAATATTTTAAATAGTGCTTTTGCAAGCAGCCCGATAAATCAGAGCAATATGCATTATTGTCTGTCGTCTAAATTGTTAATGTTGATATAAGACTCAAAAGTTTGTGGCAACAAAACTATAATCATGTGAAAGTGGTCACTATTAGAATATTAAGGACCTGGGAATGGGTTTTCTTGCCTATTCCCTCAACTGAAGATCCCTTGTGGACGCAAAGTCTGTTTTACAGATCTGGCCGTGCTGCTTGCCTGACTAATTGGGGATTTTAATAATTCTCATTACATTTTCAGATGTATATCTGCCATGAGATAAAACGTTTCCCCAAGGTCAGAGGCCAGGAGCCATGGAGACACCTTATTCTCACATCTATAACCTATCCCTAAGAAAAAGTACGAAGTTATCAAATTTGATGATAAATTCTAAAGATAACTTTTCCATGTCCTTTAACAGCCCCTGCAGAATTAGGGGAAGCTATAATTAGATGGAGAGAGCAGTGCCAGGAAAAAGCAATTTGGAGAAGAGGAAAACCTGGAATGAATTTCCTATTTCATTACTGCATGTCCTGCAGGTGATGCCCATGAAAACAGAGTATCTGGCACAGTTCTGTCATCAAGCACAGTTGCATGGTATCTGTACTACTGACTGCTGAGATAGGTAAGACTCTGGATGACTTAACATCTAAATACTTCGAAGTCTTGCACTGATCTCCATTTGGCAAATATCTTTATTTGCTCTTTAGAATAACTACTACATGCCTTTACCTTTTCTGACTCAGAGAACATTACGTGCTGGATGCATCTTTGCTCCGTATTAGCTTTCACCTCAGAGCCATGTTCTAGCAAAGGGCTCCCATCTCCATGCATATGAGGGAAAAGGACAGGAAAATGACTGCTCTAGATCACCTAATCCCTATGCTAAGAAACAGGTAAGATCTCCTGTAGTGAGATATTTCACCCAGTTTACGTAGTATAAGCCTTTATTCCCATGACAATTAATGGAAAAAGGAAAAATGCTACCTTCAAGGAAGCATTTTCAATGGCTGACACACACTAAAGGTGTAACATTCAGAATATGCATGCATCCATTCTGGATACAGAGGAAAAAAATGAACAAGAAAAGTTTGTGATTATGCAGTCACGTATCTGCTATTACATAGGAAAGAACACTTTGACTAAAGTTGTCTTTGTTTAGAACCATTCCAGGTTTCTCACTGCAGACTCTAAAGGAATAACACTGATTGACAAAGAGGACTCAAAATTATCTGAGGGACAAAAGCCCAAGCAGCTTTACTGACAAAATCTGTTTTGCATGAAAGGTCACTTCCTGAAGCTGCACTCTGATTCAGAGTTTCAGAGTTAAACATTTTCCAGATGCATTTTTAATCCGGTACTTGACAGTAAAGGGCTTGCACTAAGTATACTTTATTTCAATAAACTACATGGAAATTATTAGCAATGAACTACAGAGCCAACAAATACATCTTTAGTCATATCTTGGAAAGCATCTGTCCACTTTGCAGTTTGCTTTCTTAAATCATTGTGATCTGTTTTTCATACAGTTTCTTCATTTACTTGCTAATGACTTGCACAAATGGGATTCATCAAATGAGGCAACTCACTTTCAAATATTTAACAAGGAGAGTAAAACACCGTTTAAGTCCTAGCAAGCATTCATCTTTCTTCTTGACTGTAGCCAAAAAGATCTCTTTCGGTCTCATCAGCTTCCCCTAAAAAACCTATACCCATTTCTGTTCTAGCTGTGACAGCTTGCACTAATTTCCTGTATTTCTTTCCTATGAATACAGTCCTGAACTAGATGACCAAATAACACAAAACTGATGAAATCCACATATATATCACAGAATCATAGAATGGCCTGGGTTGAAGAGGCCCACACTGCTCATCCAGTTCCAACCCCCTGCTATGTGCAGGTCACCAACCAGCAGACCAGGCTGCCCAGAGCCACATCCAGCCTGGCCTTGAACACCTCCAGGGATGGGGCATCCACAGCCTCCTTGGGCAACCTGTTCCAGTGCCTCGCCACCCTCTGGGTGAAAACTTCCTCCTAATATCCAACCTAAACCTCCCCACTCTCAGTTTAAAACCATTCCCCCTTGTCCTATCACTATCCACCCTCATAAACAGCCGTTCCCCCTCCTGTTTATAAGCTCCCTTCAAGTGCTGGAAGGCCACAATGAGGTCTCCCTGGAGCTTTCTCTTCTCTAAGCTGAACAAGCCCAGTTCCCTCAACCTTCTCCATACATGTAGGATTGTGTGATGAACTGATCATCAGGTCTTCTCTTATTAATAATGTCAAAATGAAACGAGAGCTCAGGTCAAAACAGCACTTAAGAATTTCATTTCCAAGAGCTAGCATTAGGACTTTTTGCTGAAAGAGATTAATCAAGTACGTCTACAAAAATAATAAGAGATCTGGACAAGTTTTAAGAGTTCTCCAAAGCATGCTTTCATGCTTTGAGTCCTACTGATACTGAAAGTCCTATTTCTGAGTACCAGTCTGAGAAACTGTGTGTTTCTTGTTTTTTTTTCCTCAGCATCTGAGATCCTGATGAACTTAGCTGATGTTTCCAGTGCCTTCTAAATGTTTGCCTATGGGATTTCAATCTGGTAGTCAAAAGCAAAGGCACGTGAGAATTGCATTTTGGCATTAGAGCACGTTAAAATAATGATTTTTATCCTGCAGCTGCTGCTTGATTTCAGCAGTTACAAAATAATACAGCCCTACTTGAGAGAGGAAAACTAAGCAATCTAAACAGCTCAGTATTTTTATTCAGGCAGATAGAATAATTCATCTAAAGGAGAAATGATAATCTTTGAAACCTCCAGTCTAAACACATACCTCAACAGAACACACATTTTGACTCAAGGGAATTAACAAGAAACATCTGAACTTAGTTTTCATCCAACCACAAACAGCTTAAAGCCTCAAAGCAGACTGCTTTCCTGAAGATAGCATTCCTGCAACGAAGCATTCTCAAGCAGCTGCTCCACTGATCCTTATGAACAGTGGCTTTAGGGCTGCTACTTCTAATCAGATAGTTTCTTGTGTTTCCCCTACCAACACAAAAGGAAGCAGCAATTTGCTGTCAATATTGTACAAGGCATTACCAATCGTAGCTAAAATAAACAAACAAATAAATAAATAGATTTGTAACATCTCAATGCAGTTCATATTTCTTGTCTGTGCTAAGACTATATGGGCAGGCAGGATTTCTCAAGCTGCTGCCCCACAACACTCACACTGATTGAAACCAGCTGTTAAGTTCCTAAATTGTACTTCCACTGTTCAGCTACAGGATTATATCACTGTCCACAAGTCAAATAAACAGGAAATGCAGGTGAAAGACATTACGAAGCACAGTTATTGGCCAGCATACTAGAAGCCAATCCCCAGAGCAAAGCTAATATCCTGTAAGATGAACTGACAGCTCATTACTGTAGCAAATTCAGGTGCATGGGGGAAGCACTGTGCTGCATGTAAGATCCTACAAGTCCCAACTATGAGAAAGACCGTGGACCAGGATTTCTGTCTTGCAGAAAGTACTTTTAAATAAGTACTTTTAAGGTACTACTCCTTGGAGTTCAAAATCCCCTACAGAAACAAAAAGCCCTCATTAGCTTGAATTGTCTGCTATTAGAAAACAAGTCGTGGACTGATTTTAGCACATAAAACATATGTTGCATGAGCTTAATTTAAATTATAGCTTCTTATATCACTTTGGCTTATATGGTACACATTGATTTACAGTCCTTGGACTTCTTATTTGCGTTCCATCCCATATATAATTTCCAGGCAAGGAGTGTCAAAATAGATGAAGGGTATCTTTGTTATTTTGCATGAACAAACAGCAACCTGCCTCTTCACTCATTTACAAACAGATGTGTGCAAAAGGTGTTTCTGTGAGATGCTGGAATTACATGGGAGTCAAACTGTATATTATTACCCATTGCAACAAATTCCTAGTCTGACTACTATCTGAGGTGAAAACCAAATACAGAATTATGCAAGTCAACACTTTACAAAGCTTTTTTTTTTTCTCTCTTAGCAGGAGAAATGCTAATGCACAATATACACTGATGCATATTGCTATTCAAACAAAGCAATAACAGTCTGTGGTGACAGTGCAATATTCTGAAGCAGCTACCATGTTCATGTTTACCTCCAGTCGTCTTTTGAGAGATTGGATAAAATATTCATCTCTTCATCATCTTGTAAAAGACGATATGCTGCACTAACATGGTGATTTTCAAGCACAGACCGGTCATTATACAGAATGGCTGAGTCTGACCTGGGATTAAAAAGGAAATAAAGGAAGGTTATGTTTCTTCCTTATCTCATGTGTCTCATATTCAAAAGCTTTTCTTTGCTCAGCTACAGAGGTTAGTTCCTATAGCACAGATATAAGCATTTTGAGAGTGCCTGTGGTACTTTATTCATTGCTGTTACTCATTAAAAGAAAACTAAAGATGAAAATTCACCACAAAATCTATTTCATCTGCTCAGACTCACCTAGTCTTACATTACATTAGAAAAGGATACTGAGAGCGATAATCTAAGTTTAGGGCTGAATCACAAGGCTCCTTTCCAGTTCTTGTGTATTTTGCTCTCAAATTGAAGCCTGAGGGTGGCCAAGTAAGAAATTGTGAGATGTGTTCTTATATTGTTCCCAGAATAGTAAATGGGCTGTACGCAAGACATAACTGAGCTGCTTTCAGTTATCTGTGCACCTAGCTATGCTGTACAAAAGGGCAAATCCCAGTGGGATAGTATAGGACCAAAGGTACTTCACAACTTATTTTAGGCTCCATGTTATAGATCTGAAATTGCTGGATAGCTCAGTTGTTCTGAAGACTCGATGTTAATGGCAAGAGAGATTGAGTAGGATTCATTACAGTCCTCACTCAGTCCTGCTTCCCAGTGAGAGGTGTAAATTTTTCTCCCTCAGCATTTTAGATCCTCTGTTGTTCAATGTCACAAACAATGCGTTATAACTGAACTTTTCTAGAGCTATTTTCTACTTTGGAAATGTAGCAGATCCCTAACTCCTGCATATAAGAATCTGTAAGAAGGGGAGTCTGCCGTATCCCAGAACACAGACAAATTTCCTCCAACCTTCTTGAGCATATGTGTGATCTGTCCCAGCATCTTTGGTATCTGCAATACATAGCATGATTCAGCTACCATACTCCAGATGTCTAATTCAGGGTACGCTGCAGTGCATCTTAGAAATGTCCAAGTATATGCTATGTCAGTCAAGGACACCTAGACAGTTTGTCAGTACTACCAGTAGACTTACACTGTCAAAATAATACACAGACATTAGATGCCTAATTATCACTGCAGACATTTCACAATATTTGCACGCTTTCAAATTTTGCCATCTTCTTTGTACCTCTCTTCCATCAATCTCTAAAGTCCTATAGAAGACTCTGAAATCAACAATAATGCCAGTCCAGTATGGTCTGTGATCAGCTAATTGTAAGTTCTCAAGGAATTTACAAAGATTTAAGATGTGACTACAATGACTTACTTCCAAACAGGTAGTGCTAAACATATCCCCACCTTTCATTAGTATGTTTTTCCAATAAGAACAGTATTTGTCATGCTGGTGTATACTGACGAATACAGATACTGGTGAACTTTTGAATTATAATACCTCCTTCAAAACTGTATCTTTGACCAAATACATCAATCTGCAAACAATTAGACTTCAGCAATTTCACACAGAAATATTTTGGGACCGTCCTTTTTCCTGATTATTAACATGACACAATGGTCAGGAATCTATAATACAGGCATACAATTGAAAATGGTTGAGTAAGAGAAAATTAAACGTAATGTACGGAAGTGAACTTTCCTCCTGCATCACTTGAGGGCAAAAGCTTCTACATTTTTCTATGTGGCTGTGCTGTTATTTTCCAAAAACTTCCCCAACCACTCATCATGATTTATGATGGTCTCACCGTGTTTGGATGTGAAAATTGTTGGTGGTTCCTGTGTGTTCATAATCATGGATAGCAGCTGCAAAGATCATGGCGAAGATCTCCAGCTCTGTCAGCCAGTGCTGAAAAGAAATTACAGAGCAATCAGATCATTTTCCCAGGCATTCAGGCTTTTGTCTTTTAAGGCAAGTTATCTCCCGCTGACAGTCAGTGCTGCACATCCTTGCCTTTCCCCTGCAGCCTTCCAGCTGTTTTAAAGCAAATTTATCTGGCTGATAACACCGAAGCTGAATCGGTGCTTTTCCTGATGCTTCATCTAAATAAACTGAACTTCAGCAAAATAGCTTCAAGAACAAAAAAAACGCTTAAGTCATAGTGAGGGGAAACAGTTGCCTTTCCTAGAGATCTATGTGTGAAGAAGAAAGAGAGGAAAATCACAGGAAGAAAGAAGGCAAATCTCAAGAAAACCTTTTTTTTTTTTTTTTCCCAAGTAGAACTTACATGCACATTTGTGCACATACCACCAAGGTATGTGTTTTCAGCTTGGTTCAACTTTGTAACAGAGCCTCAAATACAGAAAAATGTCACTAATTTCCACTAATCAGGAGTTTCTGTCAATCCCTGAACTATAAGGAGCACAGGAAACACAGTCTTGCAAGATGTATATCTTGTTATTCATCATTCATAGAAATAGCTGATAAAGTCCTGAGATTGTTTTCTTTTTTTTGTCCCTAATTGCCTAGTCAAAGTCATATTTTCAACGTGATTGTCACTTTTGATTTCTAAATTAATCAGATGCTTTTAATAATGTCCCTCTGCATCAATCAATGATTTCATGCCTTTTTTTCCCACAGGTAGCAAGGTAAGGGGTGCTGTTAGGATCAAGTACATCAGAAACAAAGCCTCTTGATACAGTAGATGCTGTAAATATTTGTACAAAATGCTCCTATAATTTGAATAAAACTTTTACCATTGTGGTTGCTAATTGTTTTTGTAACAGCACACTGTCATCCTGTAAACATGTAAGAACTACCTTTTAACTCATAAACCCATTAAAGGTAGTATGGTTTGGTAAATTCCTTTTAGACACGTGCTGTGGCCCCCAGTCTGCTAAATACAAGCAAGCAAAGAATAGAGAACTGTAGGGCTCTGCACACAGCTACGTGTCCAGCTCTTCTCCTGAATTTCACAGTCATCCCTACACAATCACAGCACCCACAAAACTCTTCTGTAGTATTTGTTGTCATAATTCCTGGAACAGTCAGTTTGCTGGAGATAGCCCCAGACATTAGTGTCTGTGCAAATGGAGAATGAAACTAGACTTGACATTAAAACTTTCCTTGCATTAAACATACAGCTCAAAGGTATTTATATACATACATATATATATTTTAACTGGGAGGGTAAAGAGCTCAAGACACAAGTGGACACAGCAACTAAATTACTTTCTGCAAGACATGTTTCCACTGAGGTATTAGTGGACTTTATTTAATGACATTAATAATGCGCAAGAACCACTTAATGCTTGACATGAAACACCTTCAGAATGACCTGCCTTTAATCTGGATTTTAACCTGTTCACACAACAGAGGAAAAGCTAATCAAGTGAAAGAAGTTTACCTTCTTTAACTTCAAGGAAATATATTCTCTAGTCTCCAAACAGAAATAAGTTGAGAGACTACGCCTTTTTCAAAAGTCTTCCCACTGCTGTGAAATCACACAGGCATAGCAAAGAATGCATAGGCTTTATGAATATTATTACTGATATATGGGGAAGACAATTCTCACTAGCAGTGTTCTTGGTGGGATTATAAAGTCGGAGATCTCCCTGCTATTTCCAGTTTATCTTCTCCTCCTTTATACCCTAACTGACGAGCTCAGTCTTATATTCAGGAAGGAGTTCCATGGAAAATCAAAGTTCTTTCACTTGAATAGTAATTGCCTGTGTGTTTCTTGAAGAATTAATTAGAAGAAAAATAACATAAGCCTTTTCTAAAAACGTAGCACAAGTCTTCATAAAAGAAAAGAAGAAACAGTGCAAAACAGTGAAAAGGAAAAGATTAAACTTCTATCATCGATTAGGAACATCAAGCTGATACAGAAGATACACCCTTGAGTTCATTACCTCCGGAGACTCAAACTTGCAACAGGCCAAGTATTCAGAGGTGTGATCACAGCAGAACATTTTCCAGCAAAGATCACCTGCCTAGCAAAACAGGCCAAGGAAATGTCCAACAGAAAATTCACTTACTGACTACAACAAGACAAACCTATCCCATATTTAGGATCTGGTCACATGACATTAAAAAAAAAACAACACTGATGGAATGAATAAGAAAAAAGAGTGCTGAGATCTCCCTCAGCCACACTGGTTATCATGACATGAAAATTGTAGCAGTCATCAGCACCTTCACCACACCTGAACCATCTCTGCCACTTAAAAGCTTGTAATATGTCACAAAGAACTGAAAACTAATCCTCTAAAGATAAGGTGTGCACAGTGGCATTAAAAAAAAAAAAAGAGAGAGAGAGAAAAATAACTGAGACTTGACAGCTTCCCTAGGCAAGCCCAGAAACAGTATGAACAAGGAGCTGGAACCCTACGAACACCAGATGAAATGAAGGGCAGTCCCAGAGCCCAGGAAGTATCTAGTCTGGCTGGCAAGTGGAAAAACAGGCACTGGGAAGCCATCCCCAGGACAGGTGGCCTTAGAACCAGCATTCCTCCTCCTTCCTCAAAATTACTGGGAGTGTGAAGGCAAAGCCTGACTTTTCTAACAGGAGAACAGCAGTGGAAAGACAAGACGACACTGTCGTCAGAAACACCAAAAAAACCAGCTTAATTTTCCTTAGTTCAACAACAAGCCGCACAGTTTCTTGGCATGCTGGTTGTAATTTAGTCACTGTGCACCAAACAGAAACACCTCCCTTTCCTCTTCACATGGTGTTAGCCTGTGAACGCTTTCATGCTGCCTGAGGTACAATAAGGGTCAAATGACAGGGATAAACATCTATGAAACCGGGCCTCTGCCCCTCAGCCCTACTCTCAGGATCACTACTCTCCAGAGATAGCAGAGATCCAAAGATCAAATCTGTCCTAATTTCTTATCCGGACACTCAATTGATCTCCAGCTATTCTTTGTGCACTGCCACGTGTGGCCTGACTTCACTTTCAGCCACACATTCAGTAGCTGGAGGAAGAAAACACTTAGGACAGCAATCCCAAATCAGCCCTCTCATCCTCAGAGTGAAAAAGCCACCACCAGGCCTCAAGGATCTCACAGAGCCTCCAACGGACCCAGCACAGCTACTCAGAGGACACCAGGCCCTCTCCTCCCCACTGCTCTCCTTTGGGGATCAGGGCAGATGGGACATACCTCCTCCATGCTGCAGGGAGAGAGGTGAAGGACAGCAAAGGAGAACTCACATCACCTTTGAAATTCAACAGTTCGTTATTGATTGCATGTCCCTAGGCTGCCTGTGGGGCATTAGTATCCACTGTCCCCTCTCCACTACTGTTGGGCAACAGGCTGCCTCCACTTGCAGGCAGCCAGGTAGGGGACTCTCCTGGCATGATCCTGCAACTCATCAGTACTAACGGATTTGAGGCACAGGATGAAGAAGGGGCTGGAGTCTCCACAGGGCCTTTTGCCCAAGGGCCACAAATTCTCTCTGGCAAGCACAATGCAACAGATGAGCCCTTCCCTGAATAGGGTCCCTCAGTACTCCAAGTCCTTCCTTCTCCTTCAAAACTGGGGCAACTCTCAGACCATAGGCCCCAACTCCAAAAACTGTCGTTTTGGGGGTTGCCATGGAACACTGCTGATGTCACTGCCTCGCCCTCCAACTGCCATACCAGCAGCAGAGGAGCAAGAGGCAGGAGGGCAAAAGGCTCCAAGTACAAATGGATTCTCCTCCCCAGAAAAAGAGAAGGCTGATGGGGAGGAGACAAAAAGAGGAGCCGATGCAAGTAGATGAAGAATCTACTGAGCCCATGGAGGTGGATGAGCCTCAATATGAAGAGCAGCCAATGGAGGTGGATTCACCTCCCGAAGACCAACTGCCAATGGAGGTGGATCCACCTCAATGCGGGCTCAAGAGACAGCGCCCGAGGAGCCTCAGGAACACCATAAGAAAACGGTGAGCGATAGCTTGAAAAGTGGTGCCAGACTGGGTTAAACAACAACTTATTTCATTTTGTATTCTTAAGAAAGCTTAGGCATTTTGTTTCTTCACAGAAAGGGAAATGAAATCCCAACTAACTGACTCGCTAGACTCAGCCAGATCGGTGGTAGAGGGGAAAATTCAGCTTGGGTTTTTTGCTCATCCTCTCTCCAGTCAATTAAAACAGTTACCCAAATCCTCACCCAAATTCTTCTAAGTAATCCCAAATGTCTACATGCATTAGCACAGCCACTGCAAATTACATTTTTTCTACAATTTTTTTTTAAATTATTTTCTAGTACAAATGGGTTCTGCTGTGGATAATCTGCTTACCAAACAAAAACTACTGCCATTTCATTACGTATTAAGTATGCCAACTCCTGTACATACCACTACACCTGTCTTGAAAAGGAGGTAATGGACTGTTTGTGTCACATCTGCAGCATGCATTAGGTTGTGATAGGGATTTTTGTGTTTGCTGTATCCAACCTCCAGAGCTTCCACAAAGGACACCAGGGCAGAAATGGGGATCTGAGAAAAGAAGCACACAATTAAAAATGAAAGAATCACCTGTAGTAGCTAGCATTTGGAGGAAAGGCTCTGAAGAGCAGTTTGTACTGATTGTACTTCCCAAATAAATAACCTTAAAAAAGTACTCCATAGAGAGAGTGAATCAAGCTCACTTCCTCAAAATGGCTTTCCCATCCCTAATTACAAGATGGATGAATCACAAATGCACTTAAACATATGCGAGTCAGTCCACTATGAAATGCTGTCTGCAAAACACAAGCAGTGCCAGAAGTAACAGAGTGTAGTTGTTGTACTGTTTCTGGAGAAATATTTCTATTTAGGACACACGGGTCTGCTCATCCCCTCGGAATAATCTAGTATATATATCACTACTTTACTACTCATATTCTAGAGTTTGTAATGAAATGCATCATATAGCAAGGCTGAGATACTCTATGATGAGGAGCGTTGTTTATCATATTTTTGGTTTTTTACTGCCAAACCCAGACTTCCCATACTATGAGTTTGCCATGCTTTTTTGGCTCCCAGATTGTAACTGTATGCATATAAAACCACATTTGGGGGATTCCTAGGGAGCACGCTATGTAGGTGGTGGCAGCTGCACATGTATGCAACAAGCAGCAGGGATTCTCCAATGCTTTGCACAAATTAAAATACCCTAAACTTTCATATTTCTAGTTAGAGTTGCACAGCTATTTCCCTTTTGAGTATGTGTCATGGGACAATGCATTTCTAATCCGTTATCTTCAAACATTTCTCATCAGGCGCGAGAAGCTCCTGAAGAAATCCCGGAGTCGAAGAAAGTAGGAGTCCTGCCAGAGTAAGTGAAAATTGAATAATTGGGCGGGGAGAATGGGAAAACATCTCAGGGCAGTGCTTCAGTGATCCAAGTGTAACTCTGTTCACAGTTACAAAGGAACTGTTCAAATTAAAAGATATGAAGTACACCTTTTACTCTGCCTTAAGTAGTATTTGCATTTTGAAATCTGTAGCAAACCAAGCTTTCATTTTTGGCTTGCATGCTTGAGATTCCTAAGAATACTGGGAGAAAGACACTATCATACCCTCTGCATTTCATGAATAAGACTGTGTGGAACTTCACCAGCTTCATGCTGTCCTATTACAATTAAATGTCCTGCTTGAATAACATTTGGTCCTGGTTGCTGCAGAAAGATTCTCTTCCCCATTTAGGGGAAATGACAGTGACTGCAAAGTCTTCACATACACCTTCAAATACAGATAAAATCATTGCACTCTCAATAGAACAAAGCAGAATAAGAATGAAATACAAGAAAATGCAAGACGGAGAAGAGACCCATCTTGTAACTACTGACCTTGAAACGATTGATCAGATCATAACGTGTGAGAAGTTCATAGAAAATGAATTTCAGTGCATGATCTCCACTGGCATCGTTTAGTGCAAATACATCAAAGGACCACTTGTCTACATTCTGCAAGAATAAATAGAAAAGAATGTTAATCTAATCATCCATTTCACCATCACATTTCAATTTCTATCACTTCATATCTACAAATGGATGATGAGAGTGTACAGATTTCATTTACAAAATTCTCAACTTCGCTTCTTCACTTAACCAGTACTGGATCTAATTTACTCATCAGTACAGTATGACTCACAGTGAAGAAGTTTCTATTCAAAACTTAGGTTACTTGCTTATTCAAGTCATAGTGATTCACCAACTGAACAAGCAAAAGCTAAGTGCAAAATGAATCTTAGCTTGCCTTCATAAATGAAATATGGTTATGGGCACTCGCATACTGGCCTGTGGTCATATTTTCATCACCTGCTGCACAGTGAACCAGTGTAAAAATTATCTCGAGCTACCTTGCTCGACCCAAAGAGATCCTAGTTCCTTCTGACTACTGCAGCTTTAATTGCCCAAAGACAGCACGATCCTCTTTTTATAAGTACGTGTGTTTTTAATTTTTTTTTTTTTTAAGATGAGTGAGTTAACTGCTGTTTTTCATAGTAATGCTACATTAAGTGCTACCAATAGTATAAAAATGACCTTTATAACATAGAAGTAAATATCTAACTGCAATTGAGAGGGTTACAGTTAGCTGTAAATGCTATACTAACACTGCAAGGTGCTCAGTCAAGAGACGGAAGAAGGCAAGTTTAATTCCCAGCTCATTAAGCTAAATTATAATGTATTAAATCTCTTGCAGAAAGTTGAATTCCATCTCAACTCTTATGGATGGCAGCAAGAGCTGACAGCACTCACGATGCACATCGATCTCCGAAGAGGATGCTCCCATAACACCGGAAAACTTTCTCTCCTACTCCTACACCCTTCTTGGACTGTTTTTATTTTGTCTCAGTTAGGAAGCAGTAGCATTTAGTACTTACATATCTATAATAATTATATAATTATATCTATAATATACAATAATAGAATTTAGTTTTATATAATTGTATTATAGTTTTTTGTACTATTTATATTTCTAATTATTTATATTTTAATTATTTATTCTTATTATATTATATTTATATTTTAATTATTTATATAATTGTATTATACGTTTTATAATTGTATTATAGTATTTAGTTTTATAAATGTATTATATGTTTCATATTTAAATTTGTATTTATTATATAATTAATTAAAATAGTAATTGACCTCTAGTTCCTATGAAGTTGAAAATAATGTCTCAATATACCCAAAGAGAAATTACTCTACAATAGTCTTTTCTTGTAGAAATAAAAGTTTGTGTTTCTTTACATATCTTTTTATTGCAATAATGTTGTGCTATTGTGGCAAATAAAATGAATTGAATTACAAAATGGCAGAATGTCTTTCTTTTGCACTACATAGTGGCAATAGCCAAGTAGACACTAAGTTTTACTGTAGAGTAGTTTAGATTTCACCGAGGGAAATATTCTTGACAGTAATGACAGTAGCATTTTACTCTAAATAACAAGGGAGAAATGTCCACTTAAGGAAACGAGAGAGTATCACACTTTGCTTAGAGGCTTGCAGCACCAGCAATACTTAGAAAATTAGAGGATTTTATGATCCTATAAAAGCTTAGCACAGATGTGATGTCCATGTTGGAGAGAAACCGGAAGGTAAGCAGCACTTTACAGGCACCTCATGGGGGAGGACAAAAACTGTTGTCAGTAAAGAGAACAGGAGAAGCAAGGGATGGGGAAAGTTCATGGGCTACACATCTCTAGCCCACTGGCCCTGCAGCCTCAGATGAAATGTCAGAAAGTGCTCTAATGCTACCTATAGGCCCTGTGATGGAGCTACAGTCATTTTGGTCTTAAATTTGACCTTTGCTCCACTTCTTGGGCGAACCAAGAGATCAACTGCAGTTCTTCCTAAATGTTTAGTTTATTTGCCTTTCATTCTGTTAACCTTAGAGCCTTGATTTGTTTTATCAGCCGGCTGATTTAGGGACAGCTGATTTTCTATTCAAAATTACATCACTGATCGTGCTGGGGGCTCCAGCACAAGAAAGATGCAGTGCTATTGGAGCGGGACCAGAGGAGGGCCACTAAGATGATCAGAGGGCTGTAGCACTTCTCCTATGAGGATAGGTTGAGGGAATTTGGCTTGTTTAGCTTGCAGAAGTCTCCAGGGAGACCTCATTGTGGCCTTCCAGCACTTGAAGGGAGCATATAAATAGGAGGGGGAACGGCTGTTTACAAGGGTGGACAGCAATAGGACAAGGGGGAATGGTTTTAAACTGAGACAGGGGAGGTTTAGGTTGGATATGAGGAGGAAGTTTTTCACACAGAGGGTGGTGAGGCACTGGAACAGGTTGCCCAAGGAGGCTGTGGATGCCCCATCCCTGCAGGCATTCAAGGCCAGGCTGGATGTGGCTCTGGGCAGCCTAGTCTACTGGTTGGCGACGCTGCACATAGCAGGGGGTTGAAACTAAATGATCTTTGGAGTCCTTTTCAGCCATTCAATCATTCTAGGATTCTACAATTCCTGGCCTGACAATTCCTTGCAGCCAAAGTCAAGCAGATGTTTATACTGCAGACACTAACTGTTAGAGACATTAGATCACTTTGTAAGCAACTACATTTTCTGTGTTCATTGCCTGCATATTAGCTAACCAAGAAAACAGTTCCAAGACAGCATGGGCATCAGAAAAAGCTGAAAAAAAGAAATCATTCCTAAGCAGAAGAATATTTCTGCACTTTGTCTTGTTAATATTAAGTTCTGTCTCTAGCACTGCTGACCAGCAGATCGCATCTTACTGTGTAAAGGAATACAACTGGTTGTTCTCACAGCTGTACAAACAGCATGTAGGGCCACTGCTCCATGTCTGATCACCCTTTTTTCAGCAGTAAACCTTACATCACCACCCTCATGTCATGCAGAAAGGAAACACGCTACTGCAGTACAAAAATCAGTATCTGGTATCTATAGAAAGTGATGCTATGGAAGCCATTCAAAATTGCCAAACATCTCATTCGCTGAAAAAGTGACAGAGAAAATATGCCTTGGACTTGTACAGCTACTGCTCTAATTGCATATTTTCGATAAGCTGGAGCATTTCATTCTTTCATTAAAAACTATTTCATTTTCTCAAGATGATTCCACCGCTTTGGGTTACTCAGTGAAGGCATCCTGTTGATTGCCACAGCAAAAGAACGAACACATCATTCAAAAACAAAGTAGTTGTCACCCAGTGTCATCTCAATCTCTGCCATTCTCACTCTGAGGGGGAAGCGGATTATGGAAAGCCAGATAAGAGATATGTGCGTACATTCCTACATCATCTTGCATGGTTTACTCCAAGCTGTCAGACAGCTGTAACTTTGGGTTTTCTTTTGTCTTTACTTGGCTGTACTGGACTAAAACAAACAAGAAAGGTACCTGATCCCATTAAGAAGATGGGAGGGAGACATTTTAGACAAAGTCTCTTTTCCAAGACAGACCACTTCTTCTAAACAACTCATTCCTATTTAAGCTATATCCATTACCTACCACAAGAACATCCAGGCAGAGACTTGTTCTCAAAACACTTTTGAAAAAAAAAAAAAAAAAAAGAGACATCCTGGTATGGCCAAGATGGGATTATCTGACCTTGAGCAAAATTAGTCAGTGCCTTTGTTGATATTCAGGGGTCCTACTTCCTCTATCCCAGTCCATACTGCTTATGACCTTTAATATCTTACAAATACAGAAAGGGAAGAAGGATTCCCTGAGGCTTATGCCTGCTGAGCATAGCTGACAGGTCTAGCATTGTTCTGTCACTTCTGAGGAACTCAGCAGAAGAGGTACCATCATAGGCATGTTCTTCCATGATCTGGCCAGAGGGTGTTGTTCTAAGAGAAGAAAGATATGAGATCCCACCTGCAGGATTACACGTGTAAATCTGTGGCTGGAAAAAGGGATGAATGAATGCTTCCATTTTGTAAATGAAGGTCATGTTGGATCATTCTTGTTGCACTCAGTGGACTTTGTGCAAATCCTCCCTATCTTTTGATAAATAAATTATACTATCCAAAATGAAAAGGATTCAGTACCCTGAGTATCTTTCCTGTGTAGACTAGAGCAGGAGGACTGTTTCACAATCTTTACATGTATAATGCCCCTGTATGCATTTTTTCACCACTGCATGCCATGGTTGAACCACATGTGAATTGTCTTCTGCACAAATACTACACCTCAGCAAAGCTGCTGCAGAGATAATTGGTGGCTAACCTGTATTTGTGGTACTGCCATAGGTATCCTGCCTTGCAATTTCCCCATGAATGAAATCTATTTTTTTTTTTCAGACTACTTGTGATCTCTCACTTTTCATCTGAAATCTCAAAAACTCTAAGAATATTATTCCACAGCTGATTGTCACCTTGAACAATGATAGAAAATCCTTTCTCTCAGAGCAAATGATACATTTCCTTCTCCATTTCTCTGCACCCACATTTCCATTCTTCCCTCTGCAAAGTCATGATTGATTTCAGCATGTTACTAACTCATCAGCTTCATAGCTGAACACTAGAACAGAGCTGGAAACTTTAAGGATACGACCATTTTCAAGTTCTGAACTCTATTTTTTATTTTACTCTAAGAATATTCCCACAGGCCAGTAAATTATGAACAGACCTGAGCCTGATTAAACATCTGAAAGAAGGAAAAGGAAAGTTCAAACACTTCCTTCCCCATGTAAAACATCACAGTGTTACCCTGATGCTTTGTACAGGCACCCCAGCTTTCTCCCACCATCACCTTTTCGTTGGGCTTACCTTTAGCACTCCAATTACAGCTGGTGGGTAGCTCAAACCAACCATATTGGACGTCCGCCTGTACATTCTACCAAGATAAAATAGATAAGGCAACATATAAATAAAATTAAACAATAAAACAACAACAAACAAATATCCTGTTAAAGGAGATCCTGCATAGACCAACAAACTAACTACAATGATTTTTCTTCTTCCTAGCTTGTGCACATGCTCTCTATATCACTTTCACAGTAGAGCTTTGCTCAAGGCCGTACAATTCCCAGTATCTCACACCTTGGTTCCCAGGCTGGATATTAGGAAGAATCTGTTAATTCATCAGAGGGAAAGGCTGCACTCAAATAAACAAGATGCTCCTCGTTTTCCACCACAGCAAAGCTCATTGCCCTTTCAGTTTCTGTAGTTCTTGCTTGTCCAGCACTCAAGCTCATTCTCAGTGTATTCCAGAAATCATCTGCAGTCTGCAAAGCATCAACTGCAGTCCAGTACCACTATTACTTTTTTTTTTTTTTAAATAATATCAGTTCAAAATCTTTTAGGTGTTCTTTGTGTATGAAGAAGGACATAATCAACATCAGTAACCATACTAAAGAATGCACTGAACTATGCACTGGAATTTATATTTGCTTTCAGGCCATGCTGTTTTTAATAGGCTGCGTGAACTCTCAAATACTGACTGTCAAAACACCTTTCCACAGTTCATTCTTTTTTGCACTTCAGAAACACAGGACTTAAAAGAGATGATGGAAAGCTTTCCTCTCCCATCTGACAAGATCATGTGTGAAGACCTTCACTTCCCTTTCATGTCCTGCTCTCAAACACACACAAAAAAAATACGTCATGCCTTTCTGGAGAACTGTCCCACTGCCTAAATCATAGAATTTCTCACCCCCTCCTGCCAGGACCCAGCACTTTTCTCTTCAGACAGTTCAGGCAAAGGCCCTCTGCCTTAACTTAGGAGAGCAACAACCCTCCTCTGGTGCCATTTCCATCTGAATGTTTCCTCTTTCAGTTATTCAAATCCACTGGGTTAAAGTTGCCTCTGACAGCCACCTTTCTGCCATACATTCATATCTCTCTCGAGCAAGTCCTTCACTGAGACTGAGGGTTAATTCACTAATAGCCTGTCAAAACTGGGAGGAATCCTTCCCAGGGAAAAAGGACAGCTAATGCTGTCCCGTTAGCCTTACCATTATTGCAGCCACTCTTAGCACGCATGCAGCAATTTCTTGAGTTTTCAGCTATGCAGATTAAATAACAACAGTAATTTTCAAGTCAGCAATCAGTAAGTGGAAGGAGTCCCTGTGCATCTGTGTGGCCTGCGATCCATTGTGTGATACTCCTACCCTCCTATGCAGAGAACTGCTAGGCTGTCAGTGCAATTCTGACCAGCAGCACTCACAGTCCTGACTGAAGTTTTGCTGTAGACACCTGGCACTGGCTGGCTGAAGTCTGCTGGCTGCTTCCCACATACCAGCCCTCCTGCTAGCTCCAAGGAAACAACAGGGAAGAGTGTTTACTCGAGAGGAGAAGGTAGGAATGGAAATGAGTCCAAATTTAAATGACTAAAAGTTTTAGAGTTCAGAAAATGAAATTAGTTTTAGCAGAACGTTCTGATGCAAGTCATGACTGAAAAGGCTGATAGAACTCAAAGGATTTTTGGACATCCCCTCTTGATCTCCAAGTTTTTCACATCAGTTTCGGTCTATACATGTGCTATATGATTCAGGCCAGTAATACCATGACACAAGATCTTCTCCATTAAAAAAAAAAAATAGACAACAGAAGTCAAAAGGCACAGCAGGGCCTGGATCGAACTGACTGAACTTTAAAATCTGAATTTTGACCTAGGACTACATGCAGAGGTGTGTATTCTCTGTCAAAATTATTTCACCTGTGCTATTACATCTGCATTATGCTAAAAATAGATCCACATGTGCTGCTTCAGATTGCACTCTAGTAGAAGCTGTTTGCCAACCAGATCTTTGTAGAAACAACTTCAAAATCATATTAAAGTCCTCTTCACTCCATACTGCAGGTGCAATTGGCAGTGCATGAGCAGCTACTAGAACCAAGTCATCACATGTTCCTTTACCTTTCCACAAATATCCCAGCTTGTACTGCATGGACAATACTCCTGAATCGGGGTTTCTCCTCTGTCCTTTTGAGCATCATCCCCATTTGCCGTGTGAAGGTAGAAGCCAACCAGTCCCGGACCTCTGAGGGCACGGAGTCAGACTGGATGTCACTGAGCTCATCTTCTGTGTCCAGTAAACGCCTAGAAGAGCAAAGAAAACAAAAAGTAAAAAAAAAACTGTGTAAGAGACCATTGGAACATCATTAGCAAAAAAGAAACGCACATCTATTTTAACAAAAGCCTAATGAAACTTCTTTCTGCAAGTCTGCAACAGATTTGTCCTCTTGTGTAGTTAAGTGCTAGATTGTGAAATTCACTACTAGGCTGACAAACAAGAAGCATCAGCCTTCTGAAGCACAACTACATCATCATCCACTCGCATCTCGTCTTCAGCTCCCTACTATTCCTCACCTCTCAGCCAGAGAACACTGATTTCCCAGTAAGTATCACACATCCTATCCTTTCCTATTCTGACTCAGCACTGGGGTAACAGCACATAATGAAAGGGAAACTCTTCTGCAATTTCTTATCTGCCAATTACTACCACAAACTTGAGTAAAAAAAACCTCTGAATTTCAAAGACTTAGTAAAAGTGAATCGATTTAACTCTATTCAAAAGAAATAGAGGGGTATGAATTTTAAGCTTTCCACAGAAACTTTCACAGAAAGTAGAAAACAACTGTCATGAAAATCTTTCTCCAAGAGAATGGATGTTAAATTTGTTTTTTTTCCCATCTCCCCCTTGCCACATGAAACTCCAAGAAGTTTTTAGACCAAGAACTGAAGATCTGCTTTTCAAGAAATACAACGTTCTAACGATTAAAATCATATTTTCTGTGAATAAGAAATCATGACTACAGCTTTCCCAAGTGATGCGTGCATTACAATTCTGTGCAACTGGTGCTTGCTAGAAGACAAATATGGCTACCTGTAATTCACTCACCTAGTTTCATCAATGTATACTGACTCAAGGACCGTTGCAGCATATTCCAAGTTTTTCTTTAGGTCTACAACCGAAGCTTCCCCTCTCTCTAGCTGCTTTACCAAAGATCGCAACCTGGAAGAGGAAAATCAAGAAGTTAGCACAAAGAGAAATGGGTCTGAGAGTGAGAATGAGTTAAAAACTGGATCCAGCATGACACCTAGCGCACATGATTAGCGTATGTAAGCTTTGGGATGTCCACAGAACCCTTTTAAAAATATCAGTCACCATGACATTAAACAAACACCACATTATGTTTAGGCTCAGGCAGGTCAGTGAGATGTGATAGTTCTCAATCGTACTGAAATATGTTAAAACAGAAATCACTTGGAATTTAACACAGGAGTTAAAAGAGGTGATTTCATTCCAGACAGAAGAAATCAAGGTAGTGACGAGCATTACCTGTTGCTAAATTCAGGCACTGACGAAGGCTGTTTTACAGGCAAAGGTGTATTTCTGTGTTAAGAAATACTACTCCAGAAATACCATGCAAAGGTAAGGAAATACTATAAACTTATGCTACGAGGTCACTTTAGACTCTCCCATCTATTAAACAAATTCCACAGAAGGTCTTCTATGGAAGACTAAGGGGAAACAGACTTTCTAACAACGCAAGTCTGCACAGATGTCCTCTTAAAATGTCTGTTTTGATTTTTTTCCTGTAACAAAGATAATTAACATATTTGCACTTATTTTCCCCTCCTTCATTTTCTACTTTTTGTGCCAAATTAGAAAAAAAAAAAGGAAGAAGAAGAAAGAGAAGAAAATATGGAAGAGTGAAATCCCAATTAAAGGAAAAAGAAAGGTGCAAACTCAGAATTAGGAAATTATCATTCTCTTAAAAGACCATGGGATAAAAACTTGACATATTAAACGCTATTTGTCAGTATCTTCATCCTCATTAAACAGCAATTAAATAAATGTTGAAATACACATTCAGCTGTGCAGCAGAAATGACAAGTTGTCCTGCTCACAATGCAGGAATGTACTGTAGCCATGTCACCTAAAATCTAGCTTCTATCTAGCATACTAGTTTTCCTCAACCTTTTCTATAGCCCCAGGAGAATGATAACCTTTTCCACAAACTAATTCACAGCTCGTGCCCTAAATCAACTCCCTGCTCTCACTTGATTTAGCACGTCTGGAGCCCAAATTGCTAGACGATTATATGAATGAAATTCTTCACACAATGTGTATTTCCTTGCTATTACACTGCTGCCATGGTATCAATGCTTTCAATTAAACTCAGTTTCCACTGGGCTGAGCTGAGAAGCACCCAGACTGCTCTTGTGCACTGCACCAGCAGCAACTTCCACCTAGATTTCCGTCTGCTCCCCATCCCTTAAACACTGAGGCTGCAGAGAAAAAAAACCATTTAAAAAAAACACTGATTATTTGTCTATCTTAGTCATAAACACCACTCCTACTGGCAGTAGCATCTTTAACACAGAACTACATATTTAAACACATGAAGAACCTTGAACAGGAGGGGTCCACCTACTCTGGGCAGATCAGCTCATCTGCTTGCTTTTTGTCAAGAAAGCAATAGTATTGTTCAATAATTCATTCATGATGACAGAATGGGGAGAAAACAACAGTAAGCAGTGGTTCAGAAGCTTTCTCCTTCTTTCATCCCATGTGTGAGGAATCTAGGGATGTGATCCCTTAACTTGTTATCAGAAACACTGCTTGTTCATGAGCCAAAGGAGTTAATGTGCAGGAAGAACATTATCTTGGGCTCCTCCTGACTTTCATTTCATTGATTGAACTACCACACAGCTCTGTGCCACAAGTCATTCAAAATTCATGCTCAACAGCAGCACAGTGAGTAACTGTTGCTTCACGGCACCAAACATCCATCACCAAAGAAGATTAGGTAGAGTACTGTGTGCATCAATCATCTGGCAAAACTGAAGCACAGTCGTTAACAATAAAATCCTGTCAAACAATCGGCTGCTCTCAGGTGAAAAAAATTACGTTGTCTTTGCTTTGCCATCCATTATCTCTTTCTATTCACTGAGTCACAGCACCTGCTGCCCGTTACTTCTACCAAATAAAGGACCAGAGACAGATTATCTTCAATGCATTCCACGTATCTTAGTTTGGTTGAGATAGTCCTAAATCCAATCACAAAGTTAAGGCCAGGCTGTCTGAATGAAGGGGATCCAGGCAAATTTATTAGCTGGAAAATGCCATTTCATGGTGGCTGAAGTAATTCTGCAATTCAACCAAATTCGGGAAAACATTTTAACTTAAATAAAACCATTACAACAAACTTTCTACACATTTAATTTTTAGGAAATTATACTAAGGTGGTGGAACAGAGGGCAAGATTCTGATTTCCTCTCTTTATTCCATAGACTAGTCATGGCAGAAAGGGAGTTGGGTTCAGTTACATGTACCACTTACAAGAAAATGAGAAGTCTGTCAGTTTCCCAAAAGAAAAATGACAACATAATTATCACATTCAATGGAAGGAAACAAGTTCATTATTTGTGTCATTTTTATTGAAACTGACTGGAGAAGAGGAAGCTCAGAGTGAACCTATTGCTTTTTACAACTCCCTAAAAAGGGGGCTGTAGTGAGGTGGGGTCAGCCTGTCCTCCCAGGTAACCAGTAATAGGACAGAAGGTGACAGCCTTAACTGGCGCCAAGGGAGATCCAGGTTGAATCTTAAGAAACACTTCTGCTCAAAAGGAGTGGTCAAGCATTGGAACAGGCTGCCCAGGTAAGAGGTGGAATCACTGCCCCTGGAGGTGTTCAAGACACATGTAGATGTGGCACTGATGGTCATGGTTAGTGAGCATGGCGGGGATGCGTTGGCAGTTGGACTATGTGATCTCAGTGGTCATTTTCCAACCTCAATAATTCTACGATTTTGACCTATTTCATAAGAACCAAAGCATGTTTTGCTCTATTCTGTTTTTAGAAGTTCATTTTAGAATAATCAGAACCTATATTTTCATTCTTTTTCTTTCAATATCAGAACTAAAATTTCTACTGCGCCCAGTCCCATTGGAGTCCAGATAATTACTGTGAAAAAAGGAGACAACAGGTGTTAACCATCTCCAAAATTAAACTGTTTTAAGACTACTGCACACATCACGTGCGTCTCAGACTACAGTCACCAGCACCTACACAGAACATTGGTCGTACGATATCAGCTCCAAATCTAGTTGTTTAATTGTAATGATACAGCTAATGCCTTTCTAAATGAGATTAGCAAAGGCAGATATTTCCTCTACTCCAAGAATTCTCTGTGATATCCAAACCACAAATTCCCCCTGAACATGTGCCAAATACTACGGAAAAAGTTTGAGAACTCTGTACAGTTATTTCGCATTTTATTCCTTGGAATAATACTATCACTGCCCAAAGGAAAAGCCTAGCCTTGTACAAGGCTAAGCATTTTCAACTTCCTCTGAGCCCACAGACACCTCAGGCAGGTGTAAGCCTGAGAAAAAGATGCTATGCCATTTCCAGAAGACAGCTTCCCACACTGCCTTTCCAAGGGAAATATCTGCTTGCATTCACCATAAAAACCTCAGCCAGCACCTGCAAATAAGCCCACTGAACTCAACAGAGCAATATACTCGTGCAAAGCAAGCAGGATGGCTCTTCAGTGATGGTGAGAGGCCAAATCCTACGCCGTTCCACAGTCCTGTTGGCACACACGTAATGTTTCCCTAAAATATTCACTAGCACGTTTATGACTCAGGTAGACAGAAAATAAATGAAATTAATGAACTCGACTTAGTCCATGAAAGTTAAACAGCTCAAAGACCCCAACTCTAAATTCAAACTGAATAACAGGTAATAATTAATAATAATGGAGCTGTTTTCAGAGCATTCTTGAAACATAAAATTTCTGAGTAACCTCTCCAAGCATTCTCCTCTATTTCATTCAGAATAGTATCTGTGTACAAATAATTATCCTTAGCTAGAGAGCTTGTTCTTATTATGTTGATTTTTTTTTTTTTAAAGCATTATTTATCACTCCAGAGAATATAAACACCAGTGCAGCCTGGATACCAGTCAGCTCCCATTAACATGCAAAGTGCATGGACTGTCTGAATACTTGCAGCAGGTTCCTTCAACTAGCATAAGTCTGCAAAGCTGCATGGCTCATCTCCACTTCTATTTTCAAAGCTTTAAGACTGTGATTCGCTGCACATTTTCAACACACCTCAATCTTTTCTTCCTATACCACACTTATACAAATTCTATCAAAACTTCTCTTTCTCTTACTAAGGAAGACACAGCCAGCTAAAATGTGCTACTGGCTTCCTTCTGCACTAGCCTGAGAAAAAATGCGTCCTTCTTCCTTTCTTTCAAAGAGCACAAATAGAGAAAACTTCTCCAGAACACATGAAATCATTCCTCAGCTACAGTTCCACATAAATAAGACAGCTTGTTGTTCACAACAGTTCTGAGCTCTGTACTGACTTCTTCTGGGTGGCGAATTGCAGTTGCTCAAGTGAACTGTAAGCCTCGAAAATAAAACACCCTGCATTGGTTTAAAGGAAACCCTTTAGGCTAACAGCACTAAAAGCAGAAAGGAGATCCCAAAAGGGGAACCCTAACTTCTAAGAAAGCCGTGAAGCATTCCAGGAAGGAGAATATCCCTTTTCAACTCTTTTGTAGTTAGAAAGCTTCAGGTTTTACTGATATACCCAGAACACGTGGAACAAGAATGCTTTGGAGACTACATCTTACTGAAGCTGACAAAAATTGGTATATGTAGTAACACAACACCAGGTTGTTAAGCTCTCATGGAATGGTGGTTTCATATTCCAGGAGCTTTGGAGTAAGTCTTTCAAACTTCCATCAGAAATTGTCACAAAGGAAAATTTTCACAAAGCTTCCTTAAGCACGTAATAAACAACTGCAGTGTCATTCTGGTAACGCACTCAGTGAGAGAACAGCTTGTGGGTCCCAGTAAACAGAAGGGATCCTTCTAACACATTCTGCAAGAAACTGTATTTGATCTCTTCACCTCTTTTCTTGAGCAGTAGCTTTCTGCCACAGTCATCTCCTTCACTTGCAAATGCCACCACATTTCAATGGAAGTGGGC